CTTTAGCCGGTCGCGCCCCGCTCCACTGACTTATCTGTATCACGTGGACGATCAAGACCCGATCTGTAAGAACGTGACATCCTACGGCCATCACGGGGTGAGGTGGGCAGAGGAGGACCCGCGTTCTCTGGATCAGATCGTGTGGGAGCTCTGTTGGCTTTAGTCGCCGACTGACAAAACAGAAAGGCAGAGGAAGACTGCAAACGCAGCTCCTCAGGGTTGGGTTCGAGTTGAGTCGTATCGTGAGGTTGAAGTGAAGTATTTTTACAGCTTTAGCCTCGGACAACACGTCAACTCCAAGTCAAGCCCTTGTGTCAACCATGCCATTAGGAATCCTCACTGGAAATTTCATCGTCAAGCACACCCCCTAGGGCTTCGGCACTTAGCGTGCGCCCGGAGGCAGCTAGACAGTCGGATTCATCAAGTTCGGGGCCAATTCGGAGGAACCGGGCTAGATCATTGTCGTATGGACCCGCATCGAGGTCTTCATCCCTGCAACCGGCACCAACCTTTGCAGCGAATGTTGGCCCTGCCAGTAGTCAAAGCCCAACCGGCCCGAACACGAGCCATCAGGAGTTGCACTTGCACCAACATGCCCATAGGCAGCAGGTTCAGGTTGGAGTTGACCCGGTAACCCATGCGAACATGCAATCCGAAGCAACAACTGCCGTTATGAACGCGAGAGCTGAGACGGCAGCCGTGTTCGGTGAAGCTGAAGCAGTGATTCTGTCTCTAAGATCAGAGAACCAACAGCTAGGTGCCCAGGCCGCCGCGATTCAAGGTGAGTCGTATGCCGCCATACAGGCGCTAAGGTCCGAAAACCAGCAGTTGGGTTCACGCGCTTCGGTGATTCAGGGTGAAGCTGAAACGGTGATCGGAAACCTCCGAACTGAGAACCAACAGCTAGGAGAGATGAATCGCGAGCTCAACCAGAGACTCGAAAAGCAAGCTAAGATGATCCTTGAGCAGCAAGAGTTATCTAAGGCTATGCATCAACAGCTAATCGCACTTCAGTCGCATGTGCAAGCTGCCGAACCAAAGAACCCAAGCATCCCTCCATCGGCCATCCCCGCGAGCTCTACCCAAAATGGCGCGGATCAGGCTGCGTCTGCATTCAACGCATTGCAGGCACTCGCGGGTGAGGTTGGGGGAACAATGCGAAGGATTGAACAGGCAATTGAGGTAGCCCTTAGTCCCAAAGCCAAAGCAAAGAAGCAGAAAGCTAAAGCCGAGGCTACAGCTAGGGCCATTGCACCATCAGTTGCGTCTCCAATTCCCGCTAAGGCTTCCGGTTCTAGTGGTTCGATTGCCCCGGGTCCGGTTGAGTTTGGATTGCCAGCGTACCAATGCAGCCGTAAGAGCATCTTCACGGGTAGATTGCATTCCGCAACACCCGCTCCTCCACCTCCTCCACCACAGAAGCTAAAGCCCCAAGTCTTCGACATAGCAGATGAAGATGACTTTGATGAGCATGGTGAAGATGAGGGTGATGAGGACGGAGAAGACTTCGAGGATGATCCAATCGTCCCCGTTGCGGCTCACGAGCCTGAAGATGACAGAGATTACGAGTCTAGCATTTATAAATACAAAGACCTGAAAGACATCAAGCTTCCCCAAATTCCGGGTTCTAGCGTTGAGTTCAGGGCTTACCGCAATTCGGTGCTAACACAGATTGCGTCAATCGATTGCAGCGGCAAAGCCGTCCTGTTGAAGTGGCTTCAGAAGAGCCTTGATCCATCAGGTAGCATTGCATTGACACGGTCGCTTCAGCAGGATTGTGAGGGTTTGCCTAGACTTGATGGGTGGATCTCCGCATGTATCAGTGATGCGAAACACCTAAAAGGTGAATGGGGATTGCAAGCGCAGTCGTACTTGGAAAGGTGTCACGCATCTGGAACGATGCCATCGGGTCGTGCACTCTTGTCCATTCTTAGCAGAAGATACCGGATAGATAAAGTGCGCGGGCCATTGGTGACGCTACAATCCTTGTTCGATTTAGAACCTGACTCATTTTCCTACCAATCGCTTGTAGCCTTCAAACAACGCGTCGAGTACGTGTTGAATGGCTTACCGGAGCGGCAATGGCCAGACGCCGAAACAATGTTTTCCTGGATCTACTCACGGCTAAAGGGATGCAGGATGCTTTCACGCACCATTGATCGGGTCAAAGATGCCAAGCCGGGTTCCAAGCGTAGGACATTTGAGTACATTTGGAACGGGCTCGAAGAGGTTCTTGCAGAAGTGCGCGAGGATCGTAACGAGCAAGCGCTCAAGGATTCACTCAAAGAGGATTCCAAACAGAAGCCGAAACCAGATGCAAATGCGAAAGCAGCCGCGGCCAAGGCTACGCCCGCCGCTCCTGCTGCAAAGGCAAATGCAAAGGCTAAGGCCAAAGGCCAAGGCAATGACAAGCCCCCGAAGGTCCCGAGCAAAGCAACTCCAGGAGTCACCGACGCCAATCGTGGTGCCGGTGAGGGTGCCAACAGGGACAAAGGCAAAGGTAAAGGGAAAGGCGGGGGTAAGGATGGCAAGGCCAAACCTCAGAAACCTCCAGCTGCAAAGGATTCGTCAGCAGAACAATCCGGCCAAAGGCCAGCGTGCTTCTTCTACCCAAAGGGAACATGCACTAGGGGAAAGGATTGCCCTTTTGAGCATGTAGATGCACCAAAGAAAGCTGCTCCATCAAAGGCCGCCCCAAAGGTGCCTGCCGGAGTCGCCATGTTAGCAGCCGCGTCGACGGGCGCGGGTGCATGCAACATCCCTTCATCATTTGTTCGCGGTTTCAAAGCCACATGTCGCTTGATCACCGCTCCCTTTCGTGTGTTTGCCCGCTTCGCGGCAGCACTCTCTTTTGCATTGCCCGCAACCGTGCATCATTCGCATGATCGCATTGCTGCGACAGTCAGTAGACCTAACTGTTCAGGGGGGTCGTACTTCCTTGATTGGGTTGCTGATTCTGGGGCAGGGAGAAGCCTGCTAAGCCAATCCGCGCTTGCAGATCAGGGCATTTTGACTGATATGTTCAGCGATCACATCCGGTCAACCAAGCCGTTGCAGTTTGAAACCGGGAATGGTGTGACGAGCAGTGGCACCTTCCTTACTACAACGAGCGATGCTTTTGGATCAGTAGAATCCTATGTTCTGCAAAGCTGCCCGGTAGTGCGGTCTTTAGGCCAACTAGTAGAGTTGCAGCGAAAACCTTTCGTTTGGCTTCCTGGTAGCATGCCGTTCTTCGGTAGTGACGAAGATTGCATCCAGATCACTTGGGATTCGGATCGTGTCATTTATGCCCATAAGGTTGATGACTATGTTCCGGTATTTCGTGAGCAGATCAGGTTTGGTGGTGACGGTTTGCATAGAGCCTTAGCCGCTGGTGAGTCTGCCCCGGCAGCCCCAGCAGAGGTTCCTGCACCCGCTGTCCCAGCAGAGGACCCTCCTCTCCCAGCTCCCGCAGCACCCCCTCCACCTGATCCAGGGGAAGGTTCCGGTGCCGACGATGAGGGTGATGAGGATGCACCAACCGAGGCTCAGCGGCTAATCACTGAAGCCCAGAGTCTACAGCATCGCTTAACGCATATGCCAAAGAACCCCTATTGTGATGTCTGCAGTCGGAGTCGAATGCTAAAGAAGCGAACGGCGAGGACGCGCTATGCAAAGTGTGATGATGAGTTAGATCCGGTTGAAGAGTTCGGTCAACGGATAGCGGCTGATTTCATCATCGTGCACAAAGACGCTAAAAGCACTGAAACCGTCGTCCTGACTGTGAGGGATGAGGCCACAGGGTACATAAGAGCATTCCCGCTAGTGTCCAGGCACGAAGACGGGGTGGTACGATCATTGTTATCCTTTCTCGGTAGGCGTGCTTCTGGACCTTGTGTATTGTTCAAGAGCGACAATGCGCGAGAGCTCCTCGCCGCATGTGCGACGTTGGGGTTTACTTTAGAACCAAGCCTTGAGCGTAGATGGCCTCACAACTCAGTTCTCGAACGGGAGATCCGTACCATCGAGGAGTGTACAAGGGCTCTCCACATTGCGGCCGGTTTTCAGTTGCATTCGGGTCTTTGGGTTCATACTGTTCGCTATGCGGCACACACCATTAACCTTTTCCACCCTGCGGTTGGGATTGAGGGTTGTCGGTATGCGAACGCGACTGGATCCGAGTTTGGTGGCATGAAATTACAACTTGGTCAACTAGTCTATTACAGACTTGACCCGGCAAACCGTGAGAAGTTTCAGGCATCAGCAGCACCTGGTGTTTTCGCAGGTTGGCGGTTCGATAGCGGTCCATCATCATTCAGAGAAGTCTACTATGTCTTGGACTATGGTAAGCTAAAGAACCGTGAACCCGGGTACGAAAAGGCGATCTCCGTCCCTAGAGAGGAGATCCACGTTCCCCGCGGTAATCCCATCCTCCCGATGTTCACCGCTGCAGAAGCTGCTTTGTCTAGTTTCACGAAAGCCGAGTATGAAGCCATCGAATTTCTTGATGTGCCGTTCAGCACGGTAGCGCCGTCAACACCCGCTGCCAAGCGCCACGAGTACATTACTTTAGACAGACTTATGCGACTAGGTGCAACACCTGGTTGTAAGGCCTGCAAGTTCGATGGAACAGTACACACGCCAGTATGTAAGGCAAGATTTGATGATTTGATTAAAGCCGAGAAGATTGCCGCGAGCAAGTCAGTCAGAGACGCTGCACCGCCTGATGTTGAGCGCCCTGATCCTTCGGCGGAGTCTGCACCCGCAGCCCCCGAGGGTGATGAGGATGCTCCAGAGCGCGCGAGCTCCTCTGCTGGCCCACGGGCTCCAGCTGGTGTTGTAGTTCAGTCTTCCGAAAGCAAAGTTTCAACAGGTGAGTTTGGTTTGAGTGCAAGGTTTCTCGCAAACGAGAGAGTGCGCAACAACACCAGAAGGGTTAAGGAACTTCCAGGGGAAAATGTTCTGATCGAGTATGGTTGTGAAGACGAGGCTGAGATAAGAAACGCTTGTGAACGTTGTAAGGTTCATTGTGTTAGTCTGTCCCAGTCAACGCTGGACTTGACTTCGCAGGATTGCAGCAAGTTGTTTCCCAAGCAATCCCAGGTGTAGATGCTTGGTTCACCATACCATGCACACATATGTCTTCGCATCAAGCCGTACATCGTGAGTCCCAAAGTCCCAAGTACGCGCGAAAGATTGCACAAAGGCAAGCAGCATCCAAGCGAATGTTGGTTTTGGCCCTAAATGTTGCCGACCATATCATTGAGCAGGGGGGTCGGGTTTCGTTTCAGTGGAGTTCTGATTCAGGGGTGCTTGTGCAGCCTGAGTGGATCGATTTCGCTTCGAAACACGAGCTTTCCAGTGTAGCCTGTGTCAGCGGTAACAAAGCCACCACCATTGCTTCAAACTCCAAGCGAGTACTGGAGCACTTCGCAAAGGTGCCAACAAAGGATTCGCCAGGGATCAATGCAACCAACATCGAAGCATATGAGTTTGCAGATCTCGTGATACAATCCTTGTTTCCCCAGAGGTACTTCAAAAGTGTCCCCAATCTTGGTAAAGCTAGCGCGCTTATCACCAAGAATCTCTCCCGCCGAGAATGGCAAGCTGAGCCGAAGGCGCTTGAAGCCATCGCTCAAGAAGCAGAGGGGTTGCGCCGAAACGGCACATGGGATGACACAACAGCCATGCCTTTGCATGAGTTGAGAAGTCAGGCCAGGTCTCAGGGACGCAAGCTTCGCGTAGCGGAACTGATGACTTTGTGTGGGGTAAAGCACGCCGAACTTGCACCTGAATTTCAAAAGTTCAAAGGGAGAATTGTTTATAGAGGGGATAGGGTTTTGGATGAGTTCAACAATCTGGTTTTCTTCGAAGAGACCAGTACGACTCCAACGGGGTTAATAGCCTTGAACGCCTCCCTCTTCTGGGGTTGCTTACCAGAGCACTCTGTGTCATGCTCTGACGCAATCCAAGCATACCTCCAATCAGAGCTTAAAGAAGAGACATACGTAATCCTGCCAAGGGAGTTATGGCTCCCCGGCTGGGAGGAGCGTTTTGGAGCGCAAGCGAGAATAGTCGTTCGACTCCGCAAGAGCTTGTACGGCCATCCACAGGCCGGACGGCTTTGGCAAGAGTATTTGTCTAGGATTTTGATCTCATTAGGCGGAAAGGAGTCCCAGGAGTTTCCAAGCAACTGGTTCTTTGAGTACAAGGATGGGGTTCTCATCTTAAACATTTACGTCGATGATTTGAGTTTGTGCGGATTAACAAAATTGCACACGCCATTTTGGCAAGCGTTGAGGGCGAAGGTCAAACTTGATCCCGAGTGTTTCATAGGTTCTGAGGGTGTTCGGATCTTAGGTAGACTGCATTGTCGGTACGATGAACCATCGTCGACCACAATGGCTTTTAGGATGCCTGAGTATGCTGAGCAGATCGTCCAAACCTATTGCGAGATCACCGGGACAACACCCGACAAGCTTCGTCGAGTGACCACGCCCTGCATCGCTGAGTCGTCAATGACCGACGAGGATATCTCAGCGCAAGGCGAGCTCCACGATTCGGCATCACGCATCTTGATGCGCTGTTTGTGGTTAGCTCGTCTCTGTAGAGCTGACATCGCATTCGCTGTAACTCGCCTAGCTTCCAGGGTCACTAGGTGGACTGCCTGGGAGGACAGACAAGTGCTGAGACTTGTGTCATATATTCATCACACCAGAGATGTTTGCATGAATGCCAGTTGCTCTTGGGATGCCGCTCCCGAGCTGCGAGTGTATACAGATGCTGACTTCGCAGCCTGTCCCTACACCTCACGTAGCACGTCCGGGATTGTGGTCCACATAGGCACAGGTCAACATGCGTTCCCTGTGATGTGGCAAAGTCGCAAGCAAACGTCTGTTGCGAGGTCGACGCCAGAGGCCGAAATGATTTCAATGGCATCAGCCATGTTTTCAGAGGTCATAAATTTGCAGACGTTCTTACAGTCAGCCTTCAAAAGCACAGTGCCAATCATCTTCTTTCAAGACAATGAAACTGTCTTGGCTATCCTGAAGTCGGGATACAGTCCAAAGCTTCGCCACTTAGGGCGCGTGCACCGCGTGAACGTGGCAAGTATGGCAGAGATCTTTGAGCAAGAAGATTTTTCGGCTACTTACGTGAACAGCAAGGAGCAATTAGCTAATGGTTTGACTAAGATCATCCCTCCTGCTGAGTGGTCTGATATGCTCACACAGTTGTGCCTTCACGAAGGTGTCCCTCACAATGCAACCGTCTCAAAGGTTGTAGTCGAGGAAGCAGAGCGTTTTGCAAGCTCACTGCCTAGGAAGATCACACAAGAAGACCTTGTGCAGCTGTTGTCATATTTGCCAGGGGAGAGCGCCGTGCGCCCCTCTGCAAGTGAGGCAATGTGCTTCACCACCGGTGCGTTCGCGCACGGAGGTGGGATCGCAGGTTTAAGACAAAATGTAACCCTCTTCCCAGTAGTCACTGCGGTTTTGTGCAAGTTCATCCGTAGGGTGCTGCCTAAGCATAAGTTTACTGCGGTGATGTTGGCCAAGAATCAAATTACCTTGACTCATAAGGATTCTTACAACGAGCCATGCAGCAAGAACGCTGTAATCCCACTTGAAGTGTTCGAGGGGGGCCACGTGTGGGTGCAGTCACAAGACGGTGGCTACCCATGCCCAGACCTCAGTCGAGGTGAGAAGGGCGAGATCCTTAAATGGCCAGCGATCTTCGATCCAAGACGGTTACATGCGACGAACCCCTGCACGAAAGGTGACAGAATCGTCGTAATTGCCTTTACCCCTAGAAACGTGAGCAGGCTGCCAGTCGACAGCCAGCTGAAGCTCAGAGAGCTTGGCTTCCACTTCTGATGAAGTGGTAGGTCCACCAAGTAGGTAGTCCGCGTAAAGAGTTCAGTGTAGCGTCTCACGTTGTCTTCAAGGGGGGAGTTAACGGTACTCGAGCCCCACGCACTTGCTTGATGTAGCTAAGAGTACTCTACAAGAGGTAGGTGAAGAGCAGCTTGAACGACGCACACGAACGTATTTGGCTCAAGTAAAAGAAGTGCTGTGAGTGCTTGCTTTTGCTTGTTTTGTAACACGACGGGTTTACTTCGTGTTCAACTAGGATACCTAGAAATTGGGCTTTTTCCTGGCCCGGTCCCGGTGTTGCTTGAGACCACGAAGTCATGTATGCAGTGGCGAATAACAAGGAGAGGCCGGATAAGTCTTGAAGCCTGCGCAGCTCGCTTCACCGACGCAGGAGGTGCCCTTCTGGTGTGAGAAAACGGTGCCGATCGGTATCCGAGATGCTTCAGGCCCCGGGTCCCTCGTGCTGCATTCATACTGGCCCGCATCCCTCACCTACGGTGCAGATGCCCGTGCTACGCAGGTGCTTACATCATCAACCCGGAGAAATCCTACAAAGTGAAGATGGACCGAGCCCAGTTTCGGGGTTGCTGCTTCGGGTTGCAAGGAACTGGCTGCCAGAAGGCCCTCCGAAGGAAAGACGGGGAATTGCCTGGTTTTGGTTTTGGGGCGCGGCTACAAACATGTATTGATTCTCTTCAACCCCGGAACGGTGTTCCCCGCCCTGGTGTGAGATCGTAAGTAAAGAAACTCTCTTTTCTCAATGTGTTCAACTTTCGCCTTGCTAAGACAAGGCCAGTACAAGTGATGAGGGCTGTCGGGCTCGTGTCCCAGAACATCAGCAATGATGCATGTCATGTATCGGAACGTAGGAGGGCTGAGATCGCTCCCCCTGCCCTGCAGAAAGACATCGCTCCTAGCAACCCGAAGAGACATCATGGGGATCTGTGTCAAGCGAAGGCTGAAAGCGCGGAATGCAGTAGGGAGTGCAGAGAGCATGGGAAGAGAGACATTAGCGTGGCATGGCGTGGCGAGCTGGTCCTGCAGTTTTGGAGTTCCCACCCATGGCCCTGTTCGATGTAGGGCAATGTAGGGATTTGGTGCAAGGTGCCAGTTTGCACGGGCATGCACGCCGTGCATGCCGTGTTCAGGACGATGAAGTGATCGTCCTGGCCGAGGACGCCGTAGCACGTCAGCCTTAGCCCACATGCTTAACCGTTCCTGCTCGGGTTCTGAGTGAGCCTAGCCGGGGCTGAACGCGAGTCGTAAATGTTGATGCTTATCGCAGGATGACGATGCCATCCAGCGCATGCCGGAGCCAATGATGGACTTCCAGGCACTTGCGACCAGATTGGGCAAAAGACTGTGCAATGGCGGTAGCAGTATCGATGAGGAGAGTAGGCTCACTTGAGTGACGCCACCATGAATACTAGCTCAGCCATATAGGAGGCGAAAATGGTAGGGCAAAAAGGATATCGGCCACGCAGCAGCCTAAAGGCATTAAACTCGGAGCACCAATACTGGTGTCACGAAGGGGTGGACGAAGATGCAAGACTACGCAAAAGAAGGAGACACATTCTCCCTCGCAAGGAGTCTCTTTCGTGTCGTTAAAAGTCGGGCATGGAAGTATGCACAGCCGCATCGCTGGGTGTTTCACCTGTGGGCGTGGATGGCGGCGGCTGCATCCTGCGGTCGGAAGGACGTTGGTATAAGGGATCGGGCTGAGGGATGCGGATGATCGATTTGGTTGCGGGATCGTTTTTCTCACAATGTCTTGCTGATATGCAAGATGGTCTCGTCCTGGACTGGCTTAGGGTTGGAAGTCTCCAAGCGGATCCATCGAATCCATTCAGGTGTTATCGAATCACCCCAACAGACCACACTAAACCCGAAACCCAAAATCCAAAAAAGCTGGGATTCCGGAGCCCCAAAGGGTTCTCCTAGAAGATTTCTGAGCTTTACGGCTTGCTCGAGGTGTTGCGGTTTGAGGGATCGACAGAGAGATTCGGCGTTGCGGGAGGGCTTCATTGTGCCTCACTGACATGGCCTTGTTCCTGGACCGGTTTAGGGCTCATGGCGGTATGATCGAGACCATGTTAAACTGTTGAAGGATGCAAGACTTGCACGGATCTTTCGCAGAGCGAGCAGAATTGAAAACAGCGCAATCGACTATGCCGCCTGTGCCAAGCTCGATGCCTGCCGATGCACCGAGACCAAGATCAACGCAGGCGCATGCATCGCATGCAGATCCAGGCTGGGAGTACGGGGAGTACTACTTCGACCTCAAGTTGGAGGAAAAAGGCGAGCTGGAGGCAGTCAATGTTTTTGCCAGGTGCCCTGCTGATTTCGCAGTTCAATCTTTTGGGTAGGAAGCAAATGGAATGCATTCATTTGCTGGCCGTCTCCAGTGATTCAGGTGCTTGACTGGCGTGGATGACATGTCCAAGGAAGTTTTCTATGAGGTCACGCGGACAAGTGCGGGCTTCCAGGCTTCTCTGCGAATGCCTGCCTGGAGCCTCAGCAAGTCCTACGAGGGAGAGGCCCAGTCGACGGCTTCTGTTTTGTGTGAAAACTGCAGAAACAATGCAGCAAAACAGTTATGGTCCAGTTAGGGCCGTAGCCCGGTGGTGCACGGTTGCAGTCCGCCCTCCCCGCAGGTGATGCCGAATGAGAAGCGAGCAAAGCAGTCGGCGGCCTCTGTCTTCCAGACAGATCCGGATGTGCTGGAAAGGTCTCGAAACTTCCCCAAAGGGGTAAAGCGTCTGACAAATATGGCATTTCTTAATTCCATGACAAAGCGCAGGGCATGTAGCCAACATGCGCATGCAAGATAATGTTCGATGTGGGAGTTTCTTAAAGATTAGGGGTACCTTTTTCGGGGTCCTTATTACATGGATCCCACTGTTTAGGGCAAGGTCCCCTCATTTTCGGAAACTCCCATATAGAAATTAAACCAGGGGGAGCAGGTTCGCGGGGTGAACTCTGCGTTGCTTGGAAGGCGCGCGCTTGAAAAAGGCTTCATTGGATGTGCCCTGCCTCGTGCTTGTCGCAGGCTCGTGTGTCTCGTTGTGAGATTTCTCGGGCTTTTGACGCCTGACAACAAGGGAGCAAAAAATACCACCATAGAGAACAATGCAATCCCTATAGGCCCTGGACGCCTCAAGTCGGCAACATTCAGTTGAGACTCTCAGCCTCCCCACAATCCTTCCACAGGCGTGGCGAAACAAGTACGGTGCTTCCACCTTTGTGGAGGCGGACCCAAACGACAATGCGCCGCGGCAGCATCGCAGACTCCGTCTCTCCCTTGCTTGGCAGCAATTGCTGTGGTCTGTACTCGTATGTGACCAACACTGGTACGACAAGAAGATCTGAATACTTTTGATGTTGTTACTGAGAATATCTTAGCACCATCTTCGCCCATTGTCTGTCGCCCGTCGCCCATGAGGGGGCATGACTCATTGTTGATGATCACCCTTGCTGTGACCTTGACGAGCATCGCCGCCAGCATCAGGCATAGTTCGGATAGAGGTGGTGATGACGACCATGAAGGTGACGATGCTGGTGGTGGCGGTGATGGTGAGGTGATGCTGGTGATAGACGTGATAGACACGGATGTTAATGATCAGAGTGATTATGCCGTCAGCATCGTCGTCATCAGAATCGTCATCCTGCTTCCACAGAAACCATCATGACAGCCAGTGCAGATGCACTCGCTTCAGTTTCGGTACACCCCTCGGCCCAAGCCGTCGAGCACTGCTTCCGATTCCAGGAGAAAGTGCAGGTTTTGATCTGCAACTTCACCGAACGAGGACCGCCTCCGAGGGCTCCTGTCGTGAGGTGTTGAGGCTGCCGTAGGTCGGTTTGGAAAGGGGGGTGATCTGTGTCATTTTGTGCGATATCTGCGTCGTTCTTTTTTCGTGTTGCTTTCCAAATTTTTTTTTGAAGGGTTCTTGCTGTCTGTGTTCCGGAAAAATCTGTGTCTGTAATTTGTTGCCTTATCTGTTATGTGTGATTTTGTTCGTCATCTGTGACGTTTTCTGCATGTTGGGTGTTTGTTGAATCCCAACATGTGTTGACTTTGGCATAGTGTTTAATGCTTCCCTTTACCCGCCATAAGCGCGAATGCCGGAGCGTTGGGGCTTGATAGCCTTAAATTAAGAAAATGGAAGCCCTAAACCCCCAGTTACCCCCCTGGTCGTCGTAATCGTCGCAGCAGCAGCAGCAGGAGGAGGAGGAGGAGCAGCACTAGTCGGAGCAGTAGTAGTCGTCGTCGTCGCCGTAGTGCAGCTCAGTCAAAGTACTTGTGAACCGAGAGACCTCGTCTGGCGGAGTTTGAACTGCGAGAGCGTAAAAGGATGAGAATGGATGATACGACCACAAGAAACACCCAGCCGCCAGCCGTAAAACACTGGACCCGACCAGGAGAAGGGCAGCCGCAAAGTAAGGCTAGGGCAACCTCGTAAGAGGCTTGAAAGAACCCCAATCCTGGAAAAGATGCAGATAACTCAGATAGCAAAAAGGACGCAGATAGCACCCCCCAAAAGAAAGACACTGACACGGATTGCTTTTGTTCAGTCGGTTTCGGATGGGTCCTGTGTGTGGGCTTAGCGTCGTGGTAGATTCAGGGTGGAAGAGCGAACGCAAGACTGGTTTGGCATTCACCATTCGCGAGATCATGAGGATACGGCTGTGCCATCCTCTTCGCTTTGGACGAGTGCCCCGGCGCAGAAGCGGACGGCAGTTCCGCTATCTGTGTGGTTTCGGCTTCCTGAATATTTTTTGCTGTGGCCCAGCAAGACCATCGCACCGGCGAGATGGAGTGACGGACGGCCAGGGGGTTGAGATTTGAGATGTGCACCGCGATTCAAGGATGGTCGCCCCGGGATCTGCAGCTTGCCTGCAACCCAATTCCAACAGCTACTGCCAAGCAGCAGCACCAGTGAGTGGAGCATGTGATGATAGGGGAGTTGCCGAAGATTCGGGACAATCAGGACCGCGCATCCCTTCTGATGTGCAGCACCTGTATCAATTCCTTCCTTGGGCAACCCTTGCAACACCCTTGAAGGAATTCACGTGTAAACTGTAAACCAAGGTTTGTGACATCTTCTGCTCGCTGACCGACGCTTGGCTGGAGCAGGGCGGCCGGAGGCCTCGGGAGGCCTCGGGAGGCCTCGGGCCTGTAGTAAGTTGGGCTTTCTTGGTGTTTGGAGGGTGTCGCAGTGTATGAGGTCTGTAGGGTTTTTTGCCAGCTTTTTGTTTGAGCGTCCTTGCCATCGCGCTACGCAGGAGTTTTGTTTTTTTTTGGGGGCTTCGGGTTTGGGATGCCAGAGGGATGTCATTGATTTCTACTTCCGGGTTTCAGGTGCAGTGTAGCAGCGGCTCTCGTGCGTGTTTCTGTCCTTTGATGATTGGCGTCACTTAGTGACATGCTGGTGCTTGCGCGCAAAGATGAACAGCTTCGGAGCCTCGGAATCGTGCAAGCGGTTACGGCTGCTCTGACGTTGTTCTCCAGAAAATGGGAAATCAACATCGGTCAGGGATGGCTCGGAGCTGGCGAGGTCGCCTCTTGAAGGTCTTCCCAAGTCAACGGTGGCAACTTGAAGCACCCTGCAGCCTGCTTAGCAGACCTTTCTCCAAAACGAGGAAGAAGATGCCAGAGCCATCGTGAGCAATGCTGAAGAGGAGCAGGATCGCAGGCTCAAGAACATCGAGGCGGGCTGTCGCGGGCTGTCGGAACCCTGGGCCCAGGAGCCCAAAATCTCACCTTATGCCACCCTTAAATCCGAGCATATCCGAGCTGTTTGGAGAGGTGAGGCGAATCTACACCACGGCCCAGCACCAGATGACCGCGCAGCACAAGCTCAACACGATGCCTCTTCAGCCCTTTGAAACGAAGGTTTGGACACGGAGACTGTTGATGACCCTGACCACCCTGACCTCCTCCTTTGTATAGATAGCATAAGTGGAGCTTGTGTTGAGGGTTTTACTTGATGCAGCGGATGGGCTTCAGAAGTGAGTTCGAAGCCATGATGGGCAGAAGCCAGTGGCACTTTATGCTAAGTTCATGCTGTGCACAGAAGCGCATGAGACTGTGTTGCGTGAAGTGGAGAAAATTCGAATTGTGTGCTTTCCCATGGTCCTTTGACCCTGCTCTATACCGTGGTAACTACGTTGTTCAGAACCAGAAGACGAAGCCCAACACGTGGGCATCTATTTCCACAGAGACATACTGGCAGTGGTAGTCGTAGTGGCAGTAGCAGTGGCAGTGGCAGTAGTCGTCCTTGTCGTCGTTGCCGTACCAGTAGTAGTAGTAGTGGTGCGTTTGTCCACTTGTTCGGGATCTTCATCAGACGTTCTTGTGGCTTCTGTGTTAGGTTCGATTGGTGTGCAGTGTTGGTGTGTGTGTGTGAGAGTTTATGTGTGTTTGGACTTGTGGAAACCATTACCCCGTGAGAATATTAAGAAGCTTGAGCTGAAATTCGAGGGACTACGACTTCCACTTCATCCTGGCTGACAGCGCCCTTGGCTTTCAGAAGGCCGTCGACACGGACACATGTTTGAACATTCGTCCCCCCCTAGGCATGCACGCATATTTCCACAAGTACCCCCCTCTTTGTGTTTGTTTCTGTCCTTGGACCTGCAGGTAGTTTAGGGCCAAAGGATTCGAGTGTCTCGCAGGCCGACGAGCAGACCGTGGCCATCATCCTGCAGATGAAGATGCTCCTGAAGGCATGGTGGCCAGGGTTATGGTTCGTACCGATCCACGGACATGGCAGCCTGTCTGGGGAAGCTGCTGAAGTAAACGCCTCTCTATTCCAGCAATGGAAACCCCCGAAAAGTGGACGAATGCTTGTTCTCACTGTTTTTTTGATTTGAAGCGCCTTGAGTACTCGCCTTCTCAAACCTGTTTTGTCGTATCGAGCTTGGTGCTCGAGTCGAGCTGTGCTTCGTTTTGATTTTCCCTTTCAGCTCAACTGCTCCTTTGGGTTGCCTTCTGCATATCAGGCACCGAGGCGTTAAATGCTTGTTCCGCATGGTTTCCCGACGTATTGCCACCGCTATGATATTAATGCTTGTTTTCCATCCCTCGGGTCGCGATTTGCCAGCGTTTTTGTCGGTCATTGTACTCTCTTGATGCTTTGCTTTGTGCGAGTGTCCTACAGCATCCAGTTTGGTGCGATGTGTCCGTCCACAAGTCCTTCGGCATCTGTTTTTGAGGTTCCAGCTCACCTGGACAAAAGGAGCAAAGCTGATTAGGATGAACAACTTGCAGAGCGCACCGCAACCACGGCAGGCGTCGAACACATGAGACACTGTGAAAAGTACCATTGCCGCACGCTTCACAACTGTAAGGCGCCATGAACCAGACTGCTAGACAGGCTTATGTAGATCCCCGGTCATCCCGAAAGGAGTTGCTGTGGTTACAACTCAGGAAACAGAGTACAAACCCAGAGTTCCCATCCAGCCAAGGCCCTCCCAAGGAATATGGTTGTTTCAGTAAACTGAACCGCTGTTTCAGTGAACCGGTCAGGGGCGTAGGGTAGGGTAGGGTAGGGAAGGCTAGGAGGTTGTGGGTGGTTGGGATTGGGTAGGTTTTGTAGGGATCGTAGGGCGAGCTAGGGTAGGGTAGGGTAAGTGGCTGCGGGTGGGTGGGTTTGTGTAGGTTTTGTAAAGTCGGGTAGGGTAGGGTAGGGTGGAGTGGGGAAGGACAGGGTAGTTGAGGGTGTAGAGTAGTGTAGGGTGCGGTAGGTGGTTGCGGGTGGATGGGGTTGTGTCGGTTATGGGGGAGGGGATTGTGGGTGGATGGGATTGCGGGTCGGACGGTGGCTTTTGTAGGTACAGGGTTGGGTAGATTTTGCAGGCCAGGGTACGGTAGGGTAGGGTAGGTAGGGTAGTTGATTGTGGGTGAATGGGATTGGGTAGATTTTGTAGGGTAAGCTAGGGTAGGTTAGGTGGTTACTGCTGGATGGGCTTGTGTATAAGGTCGGGTAGGGAATGGCAGGCCACGTGGATGGGGTTGCAGAGATTTGTAGGGTAGGGTAGGGTACGGTAGATGGGTGGATGCGGGGTGGATGGGTTGGGTAGGTTTTGGTGGGGTGGGGTAGGGTAGGGTAGGGAAGGGTTGGATAATGTTGGATAGGTTTTGGATGGGGTTGTGCAGGAGGTTGGGGTAGGGCAGGGTTGATGGGCTTGGGTAGGTTCTGTAGGGCGGCACTGGATGGGGTTGGGGAGAGATGCGCGGAAGGGAAGGGTAAGACGGGGATGTGCATCCACATCCGGGGCCGGGGGCTTCACTGCCTCCGGGTGTTTGTACCCAAGACGACTCCACGCCGCAGGCGGAAGTACGCAGGGCATGGGTATGGATGTTCTCTTCCTCAATGCTGGGGGTGTTAGTAATGCCCATGAACTCTTGGATCTTCTTTCAGGTCAGGTGGCGAGGCAAGGCACACTCCTTGTCGGCTCGGTGCTCTCGCGTGGGGGGATCTCGTACATAGTGGGTTGTAGAGGGGCTCGCCATGGCAGCACGGATTACTGGAAAGGAGGCGCCTCCTTGTCGCGGCTTCCCAGAAGGGTCGTGGACCAGTCAGTGACCAGGGTGATCTCATGCTCCTGGACTTCGAGGAATTTCGGTTAGCTTTTGGCTGGCGAAGACCGGAGGCTGAAAGGGACCAGTTCGATGCCGAGCTTTCCTCCTGGGCGAGCTTGTGCCGCGGTGAATCCATCAGTTTCTGCGCTGTGGGTGACTGGAATGATGAGCCGGGCGGGTCTTTCTTGCCTCACGCCGGGCTTCAGCTGGTGGCGCCTGTCGATCAGTCGGGCTACATTGCCAGCAGGTGGACGACGATGCATTGACTGGGCTGCAATCAACGAATCGTCTCATCATCTGCACTCTTGCTTTTGGCCTGACAGCATATCTGCAAACAAAATCCTGCATTTATGGGGCAAGTTCCGCTTCATGAGGGATCAGGGGGTAGTGCTCATTCCCACTGCTGGATTGACGTGTCCACCGGTGGTGTCGGCTGCACAATGGCGACAAGCCGTCTCGGAGTTCTTCGGGAATTGGCAGGTCCAATGGGATTCGGATGTTGACCAGCAGTGGCTTCAGCTTTGTCAGCTTCTCGAGGAGAGCGTGCGCTTTGCTAGCTGGCGTTTCGCGGTCTCCTTGCAAATGAGGACGACTCAATGTCATCTCTGTCCCAAGGGCTCTCTTCCAGTTTTTGAGGATGGTGGCTGGCGTCGTCGCCTTTACGTCCATGCTAGATTGGTCGCTTGAATAGGTTCGTGGGGCGACTCCATGAATTGGTCTGCTGTCAGCATGCCGAGCCACGAACTCCAGAGCTGGAGCGAATGTTATTCTTTGGTGGCCAAGATCAACCGCACTTGGCCGAGAGAGTTGCCCAGAACTCTTGTTGAGCAGGCCATTACGGCCCGCATCGTTGCCTTGAGAAGCAGTCGTCGTCATTTCGCTTTGCAGGGCTGGAGGGCTCGCATGCAAGTTGGTGGCCGTGAAGCCACTCGTTGGCTCAGTCAAAAATCGTGCCTTCTTCCCCTTGCCCTTTCTCGCATCAACGACGGAGCAGGTCAGTTCTTGCACTTCGGAGTCCCTGGAGTTCTTACAGTGTTATTGGAGTGAAGTGTGGCATCGTCCCACTGGGCATCTTGCGTGTGAAGAGCTTTGGGAGATATGTCCTCCGCATGAAGCTCTTTGGGAAGGCGACACAGGACCTTTGCGTGCCTCCGAGCTTCTGCAGCGAGCACGTTCACATGCAGTGGGAGGAGCTGGACCGGATGGAATCTGCGTTGAGGAAGCTTCGCACATGCTTCTTGCTTTGCTGGGAGATCTTTATCAACCCAGTGCCCTGCCAAAAGCTTCCACAAATCGCGTGCTGCTTGGTTTACAATGCCCACAGCATGCTTAATCTGCGTGATGAGCTTGGAAAACGATTGATCACTCCAAGGCGCCCACCAGACCCCACAGCAGCCAAGGGAGGATGCATGTTCTGTACAAACGGTCCTTGACAGATTGCGAAGCATTCTTCATCTCCTACGGGAGGCGTGGCGCAGGGATCGTTTCGCAGGTTTTTCTCGTTTGTCCCGTCATGAGCTTTCAAGGTTTTACTGCAGCGGAGCTTCAACACTCTGGTGAAGCGGGCTGGCATGCTGTACGCGGCTTCCTCAAACGAGGAGCGTGCATCATGCTTGGTGGTGTTGTCAGTGAGGAGGCTTATGCTCGAATGCATCGCCTCCCGCCTCGATGCATTCATGGCAGTTTGTGGGTTTTGCGGTGAACGTGTGGTCCCGAACTGGTGGCACGTCGCATGGCAGTGTCTGCGTTTGTTTGATTCGCGACCTGCAAGGCCGCGGACTACCTGGGCATGGAGGTTTGGCTGGCCTGAACAGGGCGATCCCACTGGAGGTGCGGTTCGACGCCTTCGGCATCTTGGTTTGATGACGGCGGCTGTCCGTGCATGGTTCGGCTTTTGCCGGAGCGTACTCCCTGGGCGTCCACTGAGGACCCCCAGTGAGCAGGTGTGGCATCGTTGTACCTTTGATGCCTGTGGTGTATTCGCGCCGCTCCGATCCTAGGGACGGTCTGCTTTGGTTCAGGTCTGCATCACCTGCCCCTTTTTGTCGGCTTGTATATGTTCGGAGGTGCCTTGCAGACGTTGAGTCGGCTGGGGGGTAGGGCATGGGTTGGGGCATGGCAGGGCAGGGAGGAAAGGGTAGGGTAGGGTGTGAGGGGAGGCAGAGGAGTTGGCAGGAAGGGTGGTACGCCTGCCCCGGTGCCAGCAGGGTGGGTTTTTGGCGAAGGTTTGGCAGGAAAGGGTTGGTTCGGGGTTTGGGTTGGGTGTGTTTGCGCCAGGGTCGGGTAGTGCAGGGTAGGGCGGGTGTCGGGTAGGTAGCAAGGAAGGGTCCCCCGAAGGGTAGCAGAAGATTAGGTTGGGGGTAGGTTTTTCGGGTGAGGGTGGTTGGGTTGTGCAGGAAGTTGGGGTGGGGTACAGTGGGGTTGGGCAGGTTTTGTAGGATGGCGTCGGTGGATGCGGTTGGGGAGAGAAGGCGGAGGACAGGATAAGGTCAGTGGTGGGGCAGTGTGTGGGTGGGGTTGGGTAGGTTTGCAGGGTAGGGTAGAGTAGGGTACGGTAGGGCAGGGGAGGGTAGTTGGTGGTAGAACTGGATGGGTTGGTGGTAGGGGTGCAGGTTAGGGTGTGAACTGTGAAGTGGGATATGGTTCACTGAAATAGCGGGGCAGTTCATTGAAGCAGCGAACCCAGTTCACCGAAATCAGTTCACTGAATTTGCGGGTGTCCGCCCTCCCAAAACGGCCACAGCATAGACTTGTTTCGAGGATACCGTTTCCTCCAGGTGTCGCAATTTTTCTGGTAAAGGCGCAGCAAGCGCAAAAATCCATCCGAGCGCTCCTCTGCCAGGCCCGCGCGCCCGACCTGGAGTTCAACCCGCTCGCCGGGCTCCCGGTTGATACTCATAGTACAGTACAGTGCGGTACAGTTAGAACAGCAATGAATATATTGTAGCATGGAACAGCATATTGCATAGAAGTGAAGTATATGTGATGATACAATGATAGTATATGAAATCCCGAAAATCATGAAGCCATCCAAAACTAAACCTGTTGAAAGAAGGAATCGAGGTCCTCAGAGCTAGAGGTGAACAGGAGCATATGGCTAGTGCGTAAATAAAGCTAAAGGAAAGCCGTCTAGCATAGTATGGTACAGTATCCTGCAGTGTGGAATATGTAGTATGTAGCATGTAGCGTGCAGTTGGAAGGTCAAAGTATTTAGAATATGAAGGAAATTGCATATAGTGTGGAGTATATGGAACCATGCCAAACTCCTAAACTTTTTGAAAGAAGCAAGCGAGGTCGAGATCTGCACCAACAACGCCCACGCGCAGCTGGGGCTTCTCGGGATCGAGCGCCTCGGACGCGCTTTCTGAGAGCCCCTGAGACGACAATGCCAAACCCAGGTCCAAACCCTGCAGTCGCAACGTGTATTCAGAGCTTCGGCGTGAACTCCATGCCCTCCTTTCGCCCACCCTACAACCAGTCCTAACTTTCCTATATGCACGCTGCACAAACTTGGCCGCACAGGAACACCATCAACACCATCTCCATGATGTCACGTGCAATGGCCCCTCGGCAACAGGGCTCTCAGCCATGTCCCGTCGTTCCTTTCTGGCATCTTCTGTTTCGGACTCAGAAACTTTGATGTGGCAGAGGGTCGCAGACTTGCACGTGCTGGCTCCGGGTGGTAGCGTCGAGGAGTGCGGGAGCTTCTGCGAAGCAGAAACGAGGTTAGAGCTGCAAGAGCAGAAGAGAAGGGCAGTGGCAGTGGTAGTTGTCATCATCATCGTCGTCGTTGGTTTTCGTTGTTGTAGTCGGAGGAGGAAGATGAGCAGAAAAGGCAGCAGTAGAAGTAGCAACTGTACGAGTATATAGCCATCCCAATATTTGGGAGAAGTTGTCGTTGGCAGCAGTACAGCTGCTGTCGCGGCTGCTGCCGCGATATCTTTGCTACTAGCTGCTAGCTTTCTGTGGCATGCTTGGGCACTGTTACTGTTGCGGACTGGGTCTGCTTGTCATCAGATAGAGTGGCGTTTCGTAGCATTTCGGGTTCAGGGGGTGCCCTGCTGGGCAGCCAATTCCCTAGTATAGTATAGGATCGACATTGTGGCCCAAGTGCCCAGGCCCTCGTAGCCATCGACACCCTTGCACACGGCGTGCTGTCTGACCTGCTTTCAGCCACGGGCAACAACATGGACATCATGTGCCTCGGCTTTGCAGGGTGCCGCTGGGGTCTTCAAGGTTTCTGGGGCTTCTTTCCCAAGGTTTTCCGAAGATCTTGAAGGCCTCAATCCGATGAGGCCTTGGCTTCTGGTGCGAAGTCGATGTCGAAAGCTGGTGCAAACATTAAAGCGGTGCTTCTCTTGAGGACCCTCAGAGACTATCTCGGCCAACAGCGGCTGCCATCGCAGCAGCGCGGATTCAGTAGTTGTTTTTGTTCGAGGTCAGGGTAAGAAGCTGCGACGCATCCGGATTTGCTTCAGACATTTTTGGTCCATGGGCCCAAGAGTCAAAATGCTTGTTGCAGTCGGGATAATGTACATTGTTGAAATTGGAGGGTCTTGTAGGAGACTTCCCTCAGACAGCGTCGCACCGAGTCCGAGGATATCTTTTGCAGAGATCACGGCCATGGTGAACCGCGCAGCCCAGCAGGCGAGTGCTGGTTTGGGGTCCAGGGTTTGTCAAGAGAATTTCTTGGGCTTTGGAAATTTCACCAAATCTCAACGTGTGCCTAAATGGATGATTTGGATTCGAAAGGCTTTGATGGCAGCCGGCCTTTTCGGGTCGTTTTGCGAGACCTTGGTGTGAACCCGTGGCAGTGCCCTGGAGAGGGGATGCTGCAGCATTCCAAGCTCCGATTAAATCCTAAGCCGTCCCAGGTCGTAATTGGCTGGTCGGAGAGAGACTTGGCATGCATTTGGGCACCCTTGCCGCATTGCCAGAAGAAAAGGTTTTTAGCTTCTACCCGGATTGAACCGAGACTCTGCTTGACACCGCATTTTGCCACCGGCCGAGTTGCCGAGTCACGCATACACACGAAACATGCTGCGATAGATGGCAAACATTGCGCAAGCAAATTCGGAGACCATGTTTGGGCCACAAACCTCTGTGAACAGAGGCTATTGAAGCCTCGGCCTTGTCAGAACATTGCCTGAGGGAGTTCCTAAGGCTGACCCCTGATTGATAAAATTCGCTTTCCTTGAAGGGCCCTGATATCCTGATCCCAAATTCTACATGAACGCTGCCTTTGGCAACCTGCAAGGAGACAGCTACGGCAACAAGGCAGAGACGTGTCGTCGACCAGTAAAATCTGCACTTGCAGTTTGCAAGTCATTCCATGTTGGCATATCCCCAATCCTTCGTCTGTTGTTCAATCCTGTGCATTTGCTGGGAAGTCTTGTCTTGGTATTGCAGGGTTGAAACTTGAGGGTTCTATGCTTTGGGGTTTTACGCGGTTCCCCCAGCTTCTGTGAGTTCTCCGAAGCAGGTTTGGGTGGTGAACCCCAAGGAGAAGCTGCAGCCGCGGGTTTGGACCGAGGAGGATCGGATCGTGGTGATCAAGGCGGACGAGGGAATGGAGCCGGGATTAAAGGGATGATTCCTTACCAGATGTTAAGATTCTCTGAGATACCGGGGAATGGTGCGCAGTACGGCGTGCCCGTCGTCGTTCCCCGGCCGTCGCCAAGCTTTGGTAGAGAGCGCAGTCCTTTCGAGCAGAGCATGCGGTACTGCGAGGATTTCTCAGTGCACCCCTTCTCCGGCGTCGGACTTTTTCGGGGTAGGGTTCCATCAGGGCTCTTCATCTGGTGCTTCGGATATGGGCTCTTGGGGTTACGGTGGGGTCGACGTCGAATCTTCAGACTACAGGACCAGCGAGACTCTTAGCAGGGTAAAGTTCTATGCTTTTGAGTTGAGCTGCAGTCTTACCGTCATGCATAGTTCGGTTTCTGGCTGTCCCTGTCTGTTTTGGAGAGCACCGGATTGGCATGATGTGTAGCTGGGAGACAACCCAAGACATTATTGTCCGTGGTCCGACTTGGTCGTGGAAGAGCGCCTCGTCTCCCGGTAGCACCGAGAAGCGGACGAGCTGCGCCTTTGCACAGGATGTGTGAGCCCGGCGCCACACGAGCTGATCACGCAGCCGGAAAACGAGTGTCGCCAGCTCCGCCCTGGGGCTCGAAACCTTTGTTTGCTACTCTTACCATCAAGTGCCTCAGAAGTTGAGTCGAAAGCTCCCAAGGGGTTTCGCCAGAGTCGCCAGAGCACAGAAGAAGAGAGAGCGCGCCCAGGCCTCACTCCACTTTTTTTTGGTTTCATGAAGCTTGCAGAACTTTCTGTGATGAGCCCCTGTGTGCTGCAACCCCTGAGCCAGCAAAATCGGCCCCCAACGTTGTGCATGGCGGTTAGTGTTGGTAATGTGTAGCAAGGATCGAGAACATGCCGCCGCCCACACACCCCGAAGGGCTGAGTGCGGAGCCATTAAAGACTCCAATGCCAATCCTGAAGCTGGTCTGGCTATGAGCAATGCATCCGCTGGGAGCAGCTGCAGGGCAGCGGCTTCGGAGGTCGAGGTGGCAGAAGTGCGTGTATTTCCTCCCCCCCAAGAGCCCATGGCCGTAGCTTCCCGAAGCGCAGAGGTTTTTGAAATGGCCGTCCACCAGGTCAAGCAAAGCCTTTTATACTGGTTTGTCGAGCCTTGCCTGGCCGATTACTTGAGACCTTCTCTCTTTCGCGCCGAACTGTGCGTAGATCCTCCTTTGCACAAAGGCCAAGCGGAGGAAGGGGCCGCTGCCAGTCTTTGTCTGCGAGTACCACGACGAGGCTCCGAACTGAAACTGCTTAGAAGGAATTGAGTACTTGTACTTTCCATGAGCTGCGCAGAGACTGAAGATAGTGCAGGGAACTGAATCAAGTTTGTTCCAGACAATTTATCATCTGGGAGTCGCTTGTTGCTTCCTTTCTCGAGTGAAGACCAGGATTACCACCGTGGTCACCATGATCTGTGATGGTCACCATCGCAATTTGCCGCCATCCCCATGCAGTCCGTACTCAGTGGCACAAGCTTGCCCCAGGCCCTTCGCTTTCTGCATTTCTGCATTCGGCGACGCAAGGCTGGGCATTCCCTTCCACAAATCTGTCATGTCGTCATGTTGAAGCCATTACAATCAGTGTTGCTTCCTGTCCACCTGATATCTTCATGATTGCTCTGGTTGAACAGCAGACAGGCCCATGATGATCAACCAAGTGGTGTTTTGTAATCAGGCTGTCATCATCGTCGGCCATTGTAACACAATCACAATCCTCAAGGACGGTCATCTGCCGAGTCGCCCGGTCGATGAGTCGGTGTGTACATTGGCTTCCCTCGTCGAAATGTCGCCAGTCGTCTGTATTATCCTTTTACGCAGAGGGAGGCGGGGCGGGCTTGTGGGGTGTGACTGGCACGAGGCACGTTGACAGAACCCCACAGACCGGAAACAAGGGTGACCATATCGAAGGCAGATGGCATCGCCTTGCCATGGGTTGTGGGAGAGAGAGCGAGAGAGAGAGAGAGAGAGAGAGAGAGAGAGAGAGACGAAGAGAGCGCGTCTCTGAACCCTAGTCTCCTTAGAGTTAGAGTAGAGGGCTTTGCGGACGGAACCCTTGTGCAAATCCATTTGTAAGAGCAGTAGCGGCAAGATTCATGAGGGGAGTACGCTCGCTTGACTGACGATGCGCAACCGTCCCCTTGAAAAGTAGGGCAAGAAAAAAGCAGCAGGAGCAACACTTGAGATGCATAGCAGCCATTCAGCAGTCTACTACAGGAACGGTGGGCTCTGTGTCACGAGTGGGTGGACGAAGATGCAAGTGGAGGCAACCGCGCGAAAGAAGGAGGCACGGTCTCCCTCGCAAATAGCCTCTTTCGTGTCGTTAAAGGTCGGGCATGGTAGTATGCACAGTCGCATCGCCGGGTGTTTCACTTGTGACTGGGGACGGTAGCGGCTGCATCCTGCGGTCAGAAAGACGTCGGTAGTTGCGGCTCCACCGAGTCTTCATGTGTTATCGAATCTCCCCAACACATCCCATGCTCTCCTGGTTCAGGCCAGCTCCGCCAGTCTGCAAGTCAAGGATAGCATATCGTCTGCTTCATCACGCATTAGAGGGAGGCCTGCGTTGTGGGGTGTGAGGCACGTTATCTGAACGGGACAGACCAGAAACAAGAATGTCCACACCGAAGGCAGATGGCATCGCCTTGCCATCCGCAGGTCTGGGAGAGAGAGAGAGAGACACATAAAGACAGACGCACTTAAAAAGCAAGGCACCGGGTGCCCCAAAGCAACACACCTTCATCTCTCGAATCTTTGCAAAGATTCCCTTCGGCGATCTGGCGATGGTTCACCTGGACGCGCATCCAGACCTCTCGGCATCAACGCAGCGGCACGTCGCCAACAGATGGGCTGGAAGCTAGCGAGCTAGGGTCTTTTGATTTTGGGGCAACTTTGACTGCTTCTTGCTTTAGGATGGCTTGTCAGCCTTCAGTGCAATGGTTTACCCTGAGCTGTGGCTTTGTTGCGTTCGGAAGCATCCTTCTTCAAATGGTTCCGTGGATGCTCGCTGCGAACCCCTGCTTGCAGAGTTCGTGGGCATGGTTCTGGTGGCTTTCAAAACGGTGCCACCATGTCGGTTGCCAGTGCTCCAAAAACCTTTCCTTTGGCAGCAGTACAGTGCATCGCGAAGCTATCCTGAGCCCCTGCTGACCAGCTTATGGATAGCTTCAACCCACAATTAAAAGTCATAGCAGACAACATCAGACATCAATGCCACACTAATCGTAGTGGGAAGCACAACCATGCCGAAGTTTGGTTTGAGGCTGGAGGCGGACCGCATCTACGACAACCCCCCGGAGGTGCGGAGTTCGCATGTGGGCAAGATGATAGAAGTTGCGTAGCATCAGAAGCCAGATCCGGGGCGGTGCCAAGACAGCCGTGAAGAGCAAGAACTGGAAAGGAAACACCATCGGCAGAAGGAGGTATGAAGCGTAATCTAGTCTTCTACTGCGATGCATAGCACTGGAAATAGAGCCACAATGTTGCGCAAGAGTGGTACAGCGTGCGTGCTCGATCGCTCGCTCGCTCACGCGCGCGTGTGTGTGTGTGTGAGTGTGTGCGCGTGTTTTGTGCTGAAGGCTCCTTCGAAGCCCAATGCCCAATGCGGTGGATGTTCTGCAGCGTTTGCACACACCTGAGCAGAGCAGTAAAAAGGCATCTGAATCTCAGTTTTGGTGCAGCTTACGGGTGCTTTCTAGCCTCTGGTGTGTCTAGTGGAGGGCATTTGCAGGCGGCCCGAAGTTGCACCCGCAACGACAGTATTCATTTCGCATTCACGGCACACCAAATCTTCCAGCTGTTGCTTTCGGACGAGCCAATGCTCCCTGTGTGCTGCCTCTCTCCTTTTTCCACCTTTATTTGAAAGTGTGCCACGTTGCCCGAGACGCTCCCGAGAATACATGGAGACCTACATCCTGACCTTGCGCCAACGCCGTGAAAAGCAGAAAGCGCCTTCAGGAAGTTTGGGGTAGGGTGCAGGAATCAGGATTAAGTTTAGGGTTTAGGGTATGGGAACCAGGATTCGCAGGAGTTGTTTTCATTCGTCACCTCCCTCGCCAGGTCTATGCGGCGCTGCGCGAGGAGAGCAAAGTCCCGTGGTGGGTGTTTCGTGGTGGGGTATGGGTGGATACACGGAGCCTGAGAAGCCATCGAGTTTTGCTTCGGGCTTCGTGTACGAGCATCCTGGTTTGAGCTTCCCACCAAAAGAAGTGGATGCTCGGGTGTCTCTGGTATCTTGGCTTGAGCTTGTTTTGGAAAGAAGTCCACGGGATCTGCCGCCGAACACCGGATTTTCTTTAATCTCCATATGATCATTGCACAACATGCGCCAAAGCGCCCTCTGCATTCAACCATTGCAAAGCCACCATGTAGCGCACAAGGAGGATGGCGGCATCGCTCAGTGGATTCTCCCAGCCGTCTACGGCGGGCACCTGCGCAACGTCTGGCGACTCGAGCTTGCATGGACCCTGGGTTCGCTTCGCTGAGACCTAATGCCAGGATTTACGCTTTCGGATGGTTTCGGTTGCGGTGTTTGGGGTTTAAGGGTTAAGCTTGAAGGCTTCGGGTTGAAGCGAAGAAGCTTGAGACAAAAAAAGCGTGCATGCTGTGCCCACCTGTATCTTCAACGACTGGCTAGATGTTGTCTTCCGTTACCAAACAAACCAAGCAGCCAGAGAGATGTGCCCGCAGATCGGTAAAGGCTTGAGTCAGGTATTTCGTCTTGAATCAACAAGGGCCTTTGGGAAGAACCGCAGCATGTACGCCTGCGACATTGCCTGTCTGTACAAGTCCGAATCCTTGGTTGTGCGGCTTACGTTTCGGGACGATGAGTCGATAAATTTGCTAGCCGGACACCGCAAGGCCAGGAACGAGGTACGTCGAGAATCCTTAAACTTGAACAGTTTGGACACCTTCAAAAGCCGCAGTGACCGTACCGTCAAGGTGGGTTCGCCCTCCCGGGTCGCAGCAGATTTCTGATGGCACTTATCGCAACTCTGATGCAGAGCCAAACCGTTCTTGCAGTCCATCTTTTCGAGGGCTGAGGGCCCTGGTCCCTTCGACAAAGACCGCCTGCTCGTAGAAAGGTCCCATTCGGTGTCTCTCCCTCCTTGCTTTCATGTCCGGAGGAACACCGAGCGCGAGTGTCACCCCCTGTGCTAAGTTAGCCTTTTCTTGACTGGTTAGCTTGTCGCGAAGCCTTCCCCGTCCTCCGTGCCGGTTGAAAGCTTTAGCCTTTGGGACAGCTGCGCGCCTGCTGCGAGGGTGTCACGTCGGCCGCGGTCTCGGCCTTCGAGGTTGGCCAGCAGTCGAGTGAGTCGAGTGAGGTGAGAAAACGTTTGACCCTCCAGCCAAGATTCTTCGCGAAGTCGAAATGGAGGGATCAGGGCTGTTGATATACGGTTGAAGGATTGAAAGGCCCCGTGGATGTGCGCCTCGCGACTCCAGCCCTTTGAGACCTCTATGATGGTTGCGACAGATCTTCCATAAGATGGTGCGCTTTGAGATCTGAGATGCCCTTGCTTCGGACTGGCAGGGAAGACGGCGGACGGTCGCGAAGGGGATGAGGACGAGGCCTGTGCCGTAGATCTGTCTGTATAAGACGTGTGCGGTGCCGAAAGCGATCCTCCCATGGCTCTAAACCTCCCACAAACCAAACCCGGTTCGAAGAGAGTCCCTCAGGCTCAAGTCGAAGGCATCAAGATCAGTTGCCCCGAGCCTTATTTCCTTGAGGACGGAAGTTCAGCAGAAGTCAGGGTTTTTATGCTTTGAGGCTTTGGAGAGAAAGAGTGGCTCTGCGCCGAGAGAAACACAAAGCGCCATCATCTTGTGGGTCCAAGGAGTGTCGCTGTCTTTGATCTTGTCCCGACCTTGAGGTTCACTGACATTCTGAAGTTAGCCGGCCTGTGGACCCATCCTCGCCTCGAGTGTCTGACCCCCGAAAGGTCCTAAACCCCTAAACCACCACATGCCTCGCCTGGATTCTCCGAGTGTGAGCGCCGAAACCGTATCTAACACCCCGATTTCGGAGGACGGCATCTACAGCCCTGAAAAAACGCTTCGATGCTCGCAGCCGTTGGACCTAAGGGTGCCGGGACCCCAACGGTTTCGGGCGTCGGGTGCTTCATCGAACACCCCCAGACACAGAAAGGCATGAACATATGTAGATAATTGTATAGAAAAGCAGCACATGGTTAAGAGGAGAATGGTCGAAGAGAAGCGCCAAAGCAACGGTAATTCGAAATACCTGGAGGCAGGCAAATAATTAGCAGGGGCAGTAGCACCGTGCGCCGTAAGTCCAGCGCAATTCGGAACGGGCTTCGCTACTGTAGGTCCCTGCTGCCTGGCGAAGACCAGCCGCTGCCGGTGTGGCGCGGCACAGGCCGCGGGATTCAAAAACTCTTCCGGGCTTTCGGCTGGCATGCAGCTCAGTGAAAGAGGCACAGCTGAAAGGATTGAGGTAGAAGTTTGTCGGCTGCCGCGAAGAAAGGAGCTACATGGGAGATTCCCTCAGCCAATGGGCCAATGAAGCCCCGAAGCGAAGACAGGAGAGCCGAACTCCTCACCTGAGCACCATCCCTGGCTGCTCGATGTGGCTGGACTCAAAGAAAGAGGAGTGTTCGGACTGAAGTCTTTTCCTGCACGGTGTAGGATCTAGTCGGGTTAGTGAGACTCGACGCTTTGCTCTCGGCGCCAGGTGTGCTTGGACTACTTTGCCTGCGAGAACCCGTTCCTTAGCCAGGCCGGAGGATGGGTCGTGGCACACTGTCGAGCCTGATGTCATCCCGATGAAGCCATAACACCGCCCCCCGAATCCAAGTTTGCTGACCCTTCTTCAAAGCCCTAGACCGGAACAGACCTCCCAGGTCCGCCCAAAGGTGGCAGCCCCCCTGGCAGAAATCCACTTTGCAGCTGCTTTTCGCCAAGGCTGCGTGGAGTATGATAAACTGGATAGAGTTAGGAAGCAGGAATGGGATTCTTCTCGTTGCATGGAGGCTGCAAAGTGCTTTGTGTTACTGGGCCGGCGACGGGTAACGCCAAGAATTACTGAACTCCGCGCCACAATGGTCACTGCCATCAGTGCGGCGGGCTTCACGGCTGCCACTCCCATCAGTGCTGCGGGCTGCTAGCCCGCACGGCTCGCACTTTCATCAGTGAAGCAGGCTGCCACTGCATCAGTGCCGCGGGTTGAGCCCGCACGTTCATCACGGTGCTGCGGGCAGGGCGCAGAATCAGAACCATGTTCCAATCATTATCGATGGTTTTCCATGAACCGTTTTGCCGCGCTGTACTGTGGTGGAGGCGTGTAACGCACATTGGTTCAATTAGCTCATTGGCACTGGGTCAGCGCTTGAATTGTAAGCTGTATGTTTATCCTTGTTTGTTGTCGCGGCTTGGTCGCTGTGCCATGGGGAGCAAAAACCCTGCACAATGCAGTTGCACTCCAAAAGTCGTAAAGGAGTGCAGGCCCCAAGCTCAGGCGTTGTTTGAGGTCCATATTGTTTTGCTGAAGCCGATGCGCCGTGGGGGAGGGTTTGTGGGCTAAGGGTGTGCCATGGGCCGAGATCAGGGGTTGTGGGCTGAGAAACCCCCGCCGCCCGTATGATGATTACCAGTCGTTTCTGGTGTTGGAAAGATACTAGTACTACACCAAGTAGTAGTTTGCAGTTGAGTAGTTAGTGCCATTGGGATCTTTCCCCATTGTTTCGGGTTTTCCGAGGGCCGGTCCTGGAGCAAAGTGACTTCGACGCGCAGCGTTCGGCCTTCGACGCGGCCTACGACGAGGAGAGGGGCGCAGGGTTTAGGGCCTTCAGGATTCAGGGGCCTTAGAACAGAGGCTGTTGGGGTACGTTATATCGTTCTTATGATAAGGAACCCAAGGGTGTTGTTTGTGGGTTGAGTTTGTGGATTTTCGCCAGCTTTTGGGGCTATTGGTGTTTGTGAGAGTTTGGGCGTTTTGCTGAAGTTTTTGTTTCGCTTGCCTTAATGATGACGGTCGAAGCCGTAAGGGCGAGTCCTACTTTACCGCTTGAGAATCTCGTGGGACGTGGCCCCTCGCAAGGTGCTGCGATGCGCGGAGGTGCAGGAACGGGGCTGGGTTATCAAGGGTTGCTTGGGTTCGAGGTCTGGGCTTGCGCTGGTACCAGCTGCGCTGTCAAACCAGGGTGCTGGAAGCTCGAGTTTGCAAAGTCGACAAGCGGATCTTTGAGGGAACAAGCAGTGGTAGGACTTTCGCAAGAGTACCGTAAATACCGACAAACATGGATGTGTCGAGCAAGTGTGGTTGGTGGGGAAGTGCCGCAGCGCATCGTCTGGCCCAAGCGATCTCAAGAAACGCAGCTGGGGCCCATGCTCATTCGAGCTTAAATCCGATGCTGCCGTGCACCGTGGACGCAGAGCCAACCTCAGCCTCACCACTTCCACCCGACACGATCACGGAAGCTTCTCTTGGCTGCAGCCTCTGAGAACCCTGCCCTTACTTCCATTCTTGTGAAGCCCGGTAACTTTGTGAAGCCTCCTTGACTGGACTGCCCGGAAACTTAGCATGACCACACTGTCGGGAATGCCTTCTTGGTGGCCATGTGCCTCACATGTAGCAATCCAGCATGGCATTGCCATAACCCAGGCTCCGCAACAGGTACTCCAAAGACCTGCAAGCAGCCCATACAGTGTCATACTCATACAGCTTACGCAAAACCCGGCCAGCCATGGTCGGCCAACCGGTGAGCGGAGATGAGCTTGATGACCGCGCCAGGCACCACTACAAGGCAACATGCCGCGCTTGTAGAGACCTTTCGAGAGGGAATCTCCGCCCGCAGCGTCTTCGAGCACGGCAGGTGGTGCTCCAGTTTCTTCAGGAGAAGGAGCTCTTCGAGACGCTGTTGGCAATGGAGGGCGAGACTGGGGTGAAGTATGCCGCAACTTCTCAGCATTCGCAAGCGGGCATGCGCAGTCGTTGCCAGATGGGAGCTGGTTCTTCTTCGTCGTTTGCGTGAGGGAGGAGAAGTCCCAGTCTCGCCGTCTTGAGACGGCAGCTGATTCCTGATGCAGTCTGTCCTTTCGGGGTCAGCACGTGTCATGAGCGACTCGGGAGAGCGGCATGGTGAGTTGCTGTCATTGCCACGTCGGAGTGCCGAGAAACCCAGGAAGGAGATTTGCCCGTGGCGAGCATCCTCCAGTCGAGCCTGGACATGCCGGGGAACCCGGCGCAACCAGAAGCGGGTGTTTTCCATTCGGCAAGCTCGAAGCGTAGTCCCCGGCCTCACCTATCTCTTCGGACCTCAGTACCCGACCTTCTTATCGCTTAGGTTCTCCGCCGCGGATGCCGCCCCAGCCGAAAGGGAAGATGCCGACGGCAAGGCAGCAAGCAGAGCCAATCCGGGTTACTGTACGGAGAACAACATAAGGGGTACTGCAGCACAAGGGGTATTTCAACTCTTAAACGAGAGTTTTGCAATACCTTGAGGTTGGCTTGTTAAGAGTACATCCTGGTAGAGCATGTGATGTGCAGGGCTAAGACGGAGTGTAACATTCAGCGCATCGACAGTTGGCAGACTATCCCCCGAAAAAAGGGCGTAGCACTCAGCAAGCCCATGTTCATGCCACCAAGGCCACTAACTACGAAACATCAATCCCCTCCCTCATGCCTTCCGTCCAGGAGTGCATGCATGCCTGCATGTACGTATGACATGTACGCATATCTTAATGTGCGTACAGGAACATCGTGTGCTGCACAGCATATGTTTACATTTCAGATATACGGCCTTCGTGTGTCTTTGCATGTAAGAACGAGAGAGAGAAACAACGATACGTCTCGTCATCTGTCTTCCTTCCAGTCTCTCTACCTCTCTGCCTGTGAGTCTATCTATCGACCGATACGTAGACGATGATGGGCGGAGCGATGATAGTAACAGCAACAGCTGTAAGAAGGGAAGTTAACTATAAGCTTAGTTTACCACAGCGATGCGACGACACCCTGCAGGAGATGCCGCAGCTCCTAAAGGCCCTAAACACTCGCAAGCAGAGGCGGCCTGCGAAGCGCTGGAGGTCCTGCGAGGCGGCGCCTGCGCGACGCGCCAGGCCGAGAGCGGAGGCAGAGCGTGGAGTTGTCTGACATCGGGGGACGTTTTGGGCTTTGGGCTTTGGGTATGACTCGGCCCTGCGAAGAGTAGAGAGACAGACAGAGGGCGTGAGGGTGTGAGGCTCATGTGAGGCATGTGAGGCATGGGCGTGCCGCCTCCGTCGTGGTTCGGTGGGTTGAGAGTCCAGAGCACTGTACGAAGAGCCCCGACGTCGAGTAGCAGTGGCATGCCCGTGCTCTCCGCCAGCCGACTTGACAACTGGACGCAGCTTACAGCAGGGAGTGGCGCAGTCTGCAGAGCCTCCTAGGCATGGGGATGTCTCCTTCCAAGTTGCAGCTGCGAGGTCTCTCCGACGCTTTCGCGGCCAACGTGACCGCAGTTTGCTGGGCCGTGAGGTCCTTCGACGAGGAAGCATCCCGTGGGTGATCGGGATTTCTGAGTCGAGTTGACTTCGGGCCATCATCAGGGTACTGGATTCACTCGGATGATTTCGGATAAAAGCACGCAGCGAGATTCTGCGTTTCAGCGTTTGCCCGCTTTCCGAACAGTGTCTTGGCTGTGCCAGAATTGAAAGCCGTTGACTAACGCGGAGTTGTGAACCTCCGGACGCGTGCAGTCTGAGTCTGGAGTCTGGATGTTCTCATCGGGTCGCTCGGCGCTCGCCACAGGCGCATTGCATCGTGGCCACGGCAGATCGAAAGTTGCGAAACTCGGTTAAATTCAGTGACGCATGCAGAAGACCATGGCAACAGCCATCACCGGCAACGACGAACACAGACGGACTGCCTATGACTAGCTAGCATCTCCCTAGAGGGAGCCACTTCGTTCAAGTTCTGAGCTTTCAAGAAACTCAGGCAGTTTCCGGACGTTCCCGAATAAAGTTCTTCTTAAGTGAAGTAGATGGCCCATTGCCCCACCACGATCTATGCTTCAAGCAGCAGCAGAGTTTCTGCCGTCGACGGTTCGGGAATTTTGGATGTGACAGTAGTTGTTTGCATACCTGCTGCCAAGCTGCCGTGGCACACAGGTCTGGCAGCTCAAGACCGTTTGAGTATGTACCGGCAGGGCGACGAGAAAGATAACTGGTACGGATGTGTGTATGAATTGTGCCCAGTCGCTGGTGCCACCAGAGCCTCCCGCTTCCCACAGACACTCAATACCCAAACTCGACAAAACCTTTCGAAACCGTCATGCAAGCATTGAAAACTGGCGAAATAACCAATAAATCTCACCAGACCAAGGCCTCATCAGCGATCACGAGGCGAGGCCGGTTTCCCACCTTTGTCGGTGAGTTCATTGGTTGTTAGAGTCACTCAAAAGTTATGAGTGTTAAGGTCCCGTGGGCGCTCTCGCAGCCCTTGAGGACTCCTTGCTTGTGTAGCTCTTCTACCCGGGGGTGTTTAGGACGCTGTCATCCTGTCTTCCGCTTTGGGACCGAAACTACGCCGCCCGAAAATGGTTGTTGCCAATGCTGGTTAGCTCCAGATGAAGTCTCCTTGAAGAGACATCGTCCATTGCAGATCATGGTTACTGATGACACTTGGATTGTGGTTCTCAGTCGTTGGACCTTCGTTGCTCAAATGTGTCACCCGCTCCTTCAACCAAACAAAAAAACACCTTCATCCCTCCACCAAAATCCAAGCCCTCAAAGTTCAGCCATAAGCCCCAGACCCCAGACACGCCAGTTCAATTCATCGTGAGCCTTAAAACACCCTTGCTTCATCAGCTCCAGGTCTTGGCTGCTTTCGAGGACGTTCGGAGCAACGGAATTTTTTTTGGAAGACGCAAGCCGTCAAACTTCCGGGTGCTAGGCTTTAGGGCTGCGCCGGGAACAAAGGGCGTGAAGGTTTAGAGTTTCTCGTGAAGTTTCTAGGTACCTGTTCCAAGAAAAGCAGCCCACAACATAGAGTCAAAAGCATGCCATAACAGCCATCCATCCACCAAGAATCCAAGACAGCTGACCTGTGAGGCCGGCGTTTCCCTGTATACCCAACTTCCCGTTCAAACACAAAAACCCAATGCCCTCAAACCCAAAGCACAAATAAATGCTATATATATATATATGTATACATATAAACACCGTTTGTTTATATATCCATCAGTTTATTTGTTTATGTCGCCATCTCTAAATCCAACTATACACATGTATAAAAGTATACATATATATATATATATATATATATGAATATGATATATGATATATGATATGTGATATATGATATATGATATATGATATATGATATGTGGTATATGATATATGATATATGATATATGATATATGGTATATGATATGTGTTATGTGATATATGATATATGATATATGATATATGATATATGATATATGAGATATGAGATATGAGATATGAGATATGAGATATGATATATGATATATGATATACGATATATGTTATACGATACATGCTATATGATATATGATGTATGATATGTGATATATGGTATATGGTATATGGTATGTGATATATGATATATGATATATGATATATGATATATGATATATGATAAATGATATATGATATATGATGTGTGATATGTGATATGTGATATACGATATATGATATATGATATTTGATATATGGTATATGATATATGATATATGATAAATGATATATGATATATGATATATGATATATGATATATGGTATATGGTATATGATATATGATATATGATATATGATATATGATAGATGATATATGGTATATGATACATGATATATGATATATGAGATATGAGATATGATATATGATATATGATATACGATATATGATATATGATATGTGTGATATGTGATATATGATATATGATATATGATATATGATATATGCGTGTGTTACAGAATGGTACATTGTGTAGATTGAAATAAAGCATTTGAGGATCTGCCTTCGCCACCATTGAGCCTCGATGTGGCGGCATCCGAGGCGGCGAATTGAAAGGGGCTACTTTCGGGGATTACTGTAAATAGTAAGATGGTGTTCGTTGATAGGGCTTTCCCCCAAGCACTATAATGTCTTACCATAAAGGTTACTATGTGCAACGGGGGATGACAGGGGTTCAGCCGCTGGCAATGAGTAGGTGGCCCCGTTGGCTTGAAACAACATTCATTTTTGTGCCAACTCGTGTGGAAACATACTTTTGCAGTACACCCTGTAACTCTGGGATGTCCCCAATGAATTTGGCGTTTTGAGCCAGGAAGCAGGCCTGCAGAAGGTTCTGGTGTGCCCTGGCGTTTGGAAGTGAAGGCTGCATGGCCTTGGTTGCATACTAGTTGCTAGCTACTAGGAGGCGTGTTTGCAGGTTTGTCAAGTTGACCATTGCGGGGCTTGCGGCTTTGGTGAACAAGCTGGAAATTTTTAAAGTAGGCTCTGCTCTGAAGAGAAGCCAAGAAGGCTCTTGCTCTCTCTCGCCTTGTTGGTCCGTTTCTTTGCTTTTGCACAATTCGATAAGCTGAGCAGAAACAGAAACAGAAAGCCTGGACTCTTCGCTCCCCTTTGTGCTTTCTCGCGCTCCGAGGACTACGATGGGAGGCGAAACCCTGCTGCTGAAGCTACGGCACTCGGGAACCCCTTCGGGCGGCTACCCGGTGCTTTGCCCGTTATATTACTTAAATTTAGGCCGGGTTGCGGCATGGCGAACGGTTAAGCTTGTGGCTCAGGAGCAAACTCCAGGTTCAAGGTTTTGTTGTGTTTGGGAGTCATACTGTAGAACCGTGAAATGCTCTGCGCGCAATCTTTCTGGGACCGCGATAAAATTGCCAAGTTGCCTAAGGACTCGAAGGACATGGGTCGCTGGTCGTTTGAACTGTGCCAGCGGTTCAAGGATCACCAGAAGCAGGCGGATGCCATAGCCTGTGCTGGGGGTTTCAATTAGGGCCATTGGGGCTTAGGGTTTGGGCAACAGGGCTGCGACGCTGGACCCCTGGAGTGTGGACGAGAAAATCGGAGTGTCACAGAAGCCAATCTTCCCAGAGGGATGCTTCCAGTGCCACTAACTTCCCACACGACGGTTTCATGTCTGGCTTGCTGTCCAAGATTTGCTTGTTGATGCGTTCTCTCGCTTACATGGGCAGCTTGTTTCAAGAAGGCAGCTTCATCTTTTGTCTCCAGGATTTCTCGTCTGAGAGCTTGGTTCAGGGCTTCAGGGTCAGCGTCAGGTGACCAGCGGTCGCTTCGCTCCAGCTCGAGGCGCTGAGAGCAGCTACTTCATCACGATCTCGCGGGACCACACGGCGTGCGTCTACGGCCGAAGCCTGGCGGACTCAAAAAGGTCTCCAGACTCCAGACTTTTGCCATCTCTGCGTGTTCCAAGGACCGCCCGGCCCCCACTTCGCCCTCCTGGGCTCCTACAGCTTCGTGGGCGAGGCCCTTTTGCTTGGGGAAAGTTTCCCTTTGGTCAACGGAGTCGCCGCTAGCCGCTAGACCAAACCGGGGACTAGGAGGTGGAGTCTTGAGAAGCCTTCGAAACTCTGACCGCTCCGGCCGCATTTCCCTTTCCTGGCCAGGTCACCGCCTGCTGCTGGCTGGATCCCCTGACGGCTGTGCTGGCAGCCAGGTGGGCTTTTTGCCAGGAGTGGCTGACGAAACGATGACGAGGTGCAAGCTTAGAGGTCGGAGTTCTGGTTTGAAGCCTCTTCTGATGTTGATGGTTTTAGGGGTGTGAGAAGGCGGTGCCGGTGCCGGTGGTGGTGGTGGTGGTGGTGGTGGTGGTGGTGGTGGTGGTGGTGCAGGATGTGAAGTCCGCTCTAAAGTAGGGGCTTCACTCCAGCGGTTGCGACACTTTTGCGAGCAAACCCTTCATCTTCGCCGATTGGACTCCGCTAAACTTGAGCTCAGTGGCAATGAAAGCTTGAGCCTTCCATGGGGCTACTCAAGATCAGAAGCCAGGAATGACCATGAGCTCCACTATCTGGAGATGGAGGGTCCGCACGCGGGCGAAACCCAGGCTCGGGGTCGGGCTGTAAAATCGGATGATCTTTGAACACACCTATCACTCCCTCCCTCCTGCCTCTTTCTCCCGCCGCGTCTTCTCCCTCCTTGAGCCGACACCTGGCAGAGTGATCTATCAGCGTCTGGCCTTAACCACAGAAAGAGTGCCTGAGGCCTTTAAGGCTTGAGGCTTTTAGGCACATATCCCCAATCCTTGAACTGTCAGATCTCTCTTTTTGGCCTTGGGCTTGTGATAGCTCTCTCAAGGTTTGTTTGCTTTGCAAGCCGCTTTCCGGTCTCGATGCCGAGCTGAACTGCAGGGTCCCAAGACCCAGCGATGTCATACGAAGCCTCCAGGAGCCTGAGGGTAACCCTTGAAAAATGCCCTTCTCTCAGACTCTCAGGGTTTGAGCCCTTAATTTTTTGAAGCTTTCACAGATGCAGGAGGTGCTGCGAACCAACCTCAATGCCCTTGGCGACAGCGTTGTCTCCTTTGCTGTGCTTGCCCTGGCGGCGTCGCCGGACCCCATGCTTCACTTTTTGGGGTTCCTTATAGGGTACCAGTTGGACTGTGCTGTCAATGTCTTCCGTTCTGCCTGGCGAGTTTGTGTCCACGCTTTTGCCTTAAGTCAGGATGCTTTGATCTCCTCTGGGAGCTAAGCTTGATTTGCTATGTGCATCGTAAGTGCATCCGGCTTTGGCTTGCATCGCACGGTACACACGACTGCAAAGGAAGCGCATGTCCATCGGTTCCGAAGTGGTTGTACTCGGATCCTGCCGAGTTTCCGACCTGAACACGCGGCTGCGACGATGGCTTGTAAGTCGCTGAAGTTGCCGGCGAGAGGTTCTGTGGAAGTAGTGGCGTAAGTATGCTTCATCAGGCTCTGGCACGGTCGCAGTCGGATCAAGGCTTGGGGCCCTAGGCCGGTGTCCCAGAGCCACGCCTGGTCCTGTCGGTGTTCCGAACGGCAGGATGGTGCCTTCGTGGCAGCCTGCACTGACCGCTCACGTGCATCTCGTCTGCAGCTCCAGTATGGGTGAAGAGGGCTCTATGGTCCAGAAATGTCCAGAAGTAGAAACCACAAATCCAAGCATCGCATACGTGGCTCTTGAGGACTCCTTTAACAGTGTAGCAGCGTCGCACTTCATTTCTGAGAGATCCTTACAGTTCTCACCGCCGCACATTGAGGGTGGCTCCGCAGAGACCAGGTGATTCTTCTTCAGGCGCGGTCGCCTCGGCAGCTGCGGAATTTCTACGGGGCTGCGGTGGGGGCTCCTCGGTTCGGATCTCCGAGTGTCAAGGAACATGTCCATCGTCTCCCGGGTGAAGCCGAGTCCTGAGCGCGCCACTGTGAAAAAATCAGTGCAAAGGCACCAGGGTCCGAGTCGGGGGATCTACACATAGAGGCTCGAAGCAGTTTTTGCGGTCCCCATTCTGCTCGACCATGAGAGAGCAAGCACCCTCTTCCGAGGAATATGACATGCCAACTGTCGCATTCTCGCTGGATGGCCGCTTGGGGACAGCAAGGGGCCCCTAATTACAACGGTCTTGATCTACAGACGGATCCTTATCATTGAGTTCAGATCACTGCTGTTTTTCCAGTGTAGGTACAACCAAAGCAACATCCGTCAAAGTTATGGTCCCAATAATACGGCACCTAGTATTTAGGGTACCCCAAAAGGGACCTGAAGCTTGACAACTATCCGGCATCGTTCCGCAGTTGTCAGCAGAATCCTGCCGATATCCCAGGCTGCTTCTTGTATGTGTCTTCCTCGCTGCCGCAGCCAGCACGCCGAGAGGAGGATGAGGTCGGGCTTGGAGATCAGCTGACTAAGAGGGGCCGGGACGGCTTGCGGTGTTGCATGTGGCGTTTTAACCGTTTGAAGTCCCCTTGACTACGTGACATTGCGGAGCTCCGACCCTTGCCGGAGACTCTCAGCTTCAAGTTTTCGTGCGCCGTCAGGCCGCATGCAGCCGGCAGCTTTCACTGGGTTGTGGTAAAGGGCTTGAGTCGCTTCGAAGGCAGATCTACTAAGAATCCCAACTGCTTGCGATCAGTCGCAGGCGAAGTGACGCCCCATCTTGAGTGTTTGTCCATTCGTTCGGTTGCTTGAGTTCCATGTGCAAATTCCTTGGGTCAGGTGAAGGCGCTCTGCGGGCAAGTGGCAATTTTCGAGGCGCGGCAACGGGATCTCAGACATCTTAATTAGTGAACGCCTGAGCTGATCCAATTAATTCGCTGACCGAGAAAACACAGGAGTAACTCAAAGCCGCGATTTATTGTCCCAGCAAGTCATACTTCGATGACCACACCGGAAATTCCAAAACACTCGCACAACACAGGTCTGGAATTCCAGCCCACCCCCCCGAGTCTTCTAATGATACCAGGTACCAGGCCCAAGTAAGAATAATTTTCTCTTCATCATCGGGGCGGGCCTGGGGACGGGAGTTTCACCGGATCTTTGGTTCTCAGCTTGCTTGCGTACCTCACGCGACTCTAGTCTGACCTCCGGCATGCTCAGTGCGACCATAGTTGGGATAGAAGACTTACTTGCAACCCTACTGGACGTAGCTAACCATCCAGTAGGTTCTAAATCCAAGCATGCTGGGATGGAAGTATACCCGCAGGAACCCAAACCTTGGTCGGATGCCTCAGAACGAAGGTTCGGAGCGGCCAGCTGGTGCTTCAACTGCCTTGTCATGAAAAGTCCGTCCGCCCCGAGACAGCAGCAGTGAGTGGTGTTGGGATGTGGCCCCTGATCGGAAAACCCGTCACTCCACTCGTAGTGATTACCGCATGAATCCCACGATTGTCATCTCGAAGAGCGGGAGGTGGATTCATCATGAAGTACTGAAGACCCTATTCCAAGCCTGAACGGTTGGGCTTCGGATGGTTCGTGCCGGCGCAAAGGACCCTGCATGTTGCATTCCAAAGCAGCCAAAGCAGGAGACTTTGCCATTTGGGAAACCCACAAACATCCTATATCCTGAATTGGGAAGCTGCTGCCAGCCTACTCACTTTGGAACCGTGGCTGCTTTTGCCCCCTTTGGCTGACAAGAGTGCGGCTTCTGGCTTCCCTTTAGCCCCGGAGCCGCACCCACTCCAGTCCTTCACAGCTGACTCTAGACAACCCGGACTCTTCGGATGTTGAGCCGTGAAGACTAGACCAACCTGCCGCGCCCTTTGCCCAAGGCTGCTTCCACCGGCATCCGTACTCTGAGATGCTCGTGACGGGATCATTCGACAAGATGGTGAAGTTTTGGAGCTAATTGTTCAGCCCGTGTCAGTGTAACATAACATGACATAACACATCGGAGCACTAGCTGTCACTACCTACTCGAAGTGTGGAGTCGCAGCAGCAAGCAGGAGCCGCAAAGTACATGGCTCAAGTGACGGCACGTTGGGATTCACCGCTGAGTGCTGGCTGGCGGTCCGAGATGCTCGAGCGCGGCTGCAAACAAACTCGTCCAAAATGCATGGTTCCCGTTTCGGGCTTGGTGTTGATAGAGCTGCAGCACCGTGAGATGTAGAAGGGTTGTGGTGATGCCGCGCTGAAAGGCAAGAAGCGATTCCAAGCACTCTCTGCGATCCGAAGCTGCAGTGAAGTGGAGCACGTTCAACGACTTGCACACTCAAGCATGACATGGCAAACGTGCTTTATGGTTTTGCCGGAGGTGTGCCCGCGAGGCCACCAAGAGCTGGAATCTCGGTGCATTGGTGTCTTGTGGAAACGGTTGCTAACTAGGACAGGGACATGTTTTCCTGACGAACTGACTCACGAACGCCCTTCCGAACCATGCGAAAGCGGTCCATGCCTCCTGCTCCACTGCACCACGGAGACTAGGACGAGGACGAGGATGTCCAATCGAAAGCCCAGGAACAGGCGATGGAGCGCTTACTCGGTTTCCTGCCGGTGGCGCAGCAGGCCGGAGGATTCTCAAGCGCACAAACTTACGTAGCGTCGACTCCATCACCCGGCCTTCCTGGAGCTCCACATCTCCACATCAACAGGAGGGAGAGAGATCTGGGGAGCGAGCATTGAAGGCCCTCCACCGCCGGGCGCTGCGGGACGCCCTCGTCGATGCGCGCGGATCAGAGCTTCGAGCGCTGCAGGAGGCGGCCAGAACGGAGAATGCCAGAAGATGCTCATGATAAGAGAGATAAGACTTAGGAAGCTGCGGATGAAGATCAAAGATTCATGTGAAGGTGAAGTTGACGAATGGCGATGCTGATGTCGATGTTAATGGGAATGGCCTGATGTTGCTGGTGGTGATGGCGGGAACACGGATAATTATGGCCGTGGTTAGAGTCAGAGAGGAGATGGTGGTTTTCAAGGTGACAGCACCACCACTTTCTTGCTCCTGCTGCTGCTGCTGCTGTTGCAGCATCATATTTTGTGCTAAGTCACTGTGCTAGACGAGTGGCGTTGGGTATATACCATTGCCAACTATGCAGACGGTGACGACGGCTACCTCTACCAGTCCTCACGCCAGAACGACCGCCATCCGATATGGTGCGTGCCGCACACCACCACCACCACCACCACCACGTCTACGACTGCCACCGTGGGGCTGTGCCGTTTCGGCTGGAGCCTGGTGTTGACCATTCCCCGCATGCATGTGTCGCGTGTGCACACCAGGGCTATGCCCTAACGTGACGACGAGCAGTGTCTTCGGCGCTATGATGCATTGCCCCTTCGCTGTCGCTGCAACTTGAAAGCAGAAGGCAAGAATAACATGGAAGGATGGGAAAGAGCACCGGAGTCATGGGAAGGGCAACCTCCAGGCTTCAAGCAGTGTGGAAATGGGCTGCAAGATGTCCGGTTTTGGCAGCGAAAGTAGATCCGTAACGCGGATGCACAACCTGTGGGTGACGTTCGGGATGGCCAGAAGAACGGTGCCTCAAAAAGACATACTTCACAATCCTTTTGGATTTGGTTCGCTTTTTTGCGACGGCCGCAGGCCGGCGACATGATCTCCCTCCCGTGGCTTTGGCACATGTTGGGGCCCAGGGGTTTCGTTTGTTACCCTCGGGTTCTTCCAGGCTTGACGGGCTTCAAGACCAGGAAGGAGTATTAAGGGTGTTGTGGAGAATTCAGGATGCTGGCTTCACGCCTTACGGCTCGCAGGAAAGAGGTTCCTTTGTCCGTTAAAAGAGGCTTACACTCCAGTGCGGGGTCGTCAGAGTCCAGGACTCTAGGACTGCCGGGGCGTAGCCTCAATCCAGAGGGCCTCCCCTCAGTTCCATCGATCCAACTCATCGCAACGAGAGCTCGATCCACAAAAGAGCTCTAAACAACGTCGATCAGCTTGTCGAAGCTTTGCGCCTGTTGAGGGTCTGGCTTCTGCTTGTGTTTCGCGGGGAGCTATGGTGAGACGAGCATCAAAGGCCATCACACCCAAAACAAGGCCTGCAGCACGAAGATGCTCATAAAGCATCATATCTATCCTTGTAATTCACCACAGCAAGGCCAACACAAATTCAGGGTGCCCCAGCTCCCGCTCAGGAGCTTTCGGCCATCCACCACAGAGCTGCGGGAGCAGCTGAAGGCCGTTGAGTCCTTCGTGGCACGGCTCGGAGGAAGGCGGCGTCGGATTTGGACTCGGATAGTATATTTGGCAGGTTGAGGCTTCAGGGTTCTTTGGTTGTATTATGTATTTAACCGGGAAGTTCTGCTGGGACTTGTATGGTTGCCACTATCAGTGTTTCATGTCCTGTGGCCCGTTCAGCAGCATTCGCTGCTCTGTTGATCGGCCAGATCGTGCACCGTTCATGAGCCACCAGCTGGACTGTGCATCTGTCTTCAATGCAAACTGGAAACGATTTCCAAAGCGCGCCCTGCCCTACATGATGCAGACGGGATTCGCGATCCTAGGCAATACTACTACGGGTTTGCGCTTAAGACCTTTGTGCTCTGAACTTGCCCGTGCTGCTGCCAGGCCCTGCGCTGTCACCGTGGCACGGTCTGTCACGGACGGCTTCTGTCCCATGCGCTGCCACTGCATGTTGGAAGCCGGTGTGCTGGAGGCGACGCGCATGTGGTAATAGACGTATCAACCTCAATTAAGTCATCGATACGGCCAGAGCCTTCAACGCATGTTTTACCGTCCCTACTCAAATCCCCAGTAACAGACCTTTCTCGGCAGATGCTTCAACGGCTCTTCGGTGAGATGGACGTCATGTATGGGGACGAGCTCGACGCAAAGGAGCAACAGCCGTGACAAAAATGGGGGCCACTACAAGGGTTGGAAGGCTCAGGATGATGTCCAAAGAAGTTGCAGGTTTCATGTCTGCACGCCGCAGCTCTTATTGGGCTTCGCGATGGTTTTGCCCTTCGTTTCCGGTGGCCGTAGAACAACATATAACAAACCTCTTCACTGGCAGCTGTTTCGACAGCGCTCAACCTGATTTTTTTGGGTCATACTTGTGCTGAAGTCCCATAGGTCTGGCTTCCGCTTCAGGGCTTTGCCTCAGCTCGGGAGTAGTTCGTGGCCGACGGCTCGGGCAGCGCGGCGTTCGGCCTCTCTGCAGAGCCTGAGCCATGGTCTGTTTCGCATCGCTCTTCCTGGCTGCCGTGCTGGGCTTCGGCCGCTGGGCGGAGAGGGACAGCCGGGGAGAGTTCAAGCCACTGTCACCCTAGCCGACTCTAGCCTGTATCAACCTTTCCTGACTCGATCCCCTCTGCCGCCTTTGCCTCCTGAAACTCGCTTTGAACCTCTGAGGCACGCCCATCCTCACCGAGAACCTCCGGGGCTGGATCCGGAAGCCCCAGGCTTTGATCCGGCCTTTTCTCACAGAGCTCTTTCGGGGGGAAAAGTTCGTCTCTGTGTCCATTTGAGAAAAGGGGTTGCTGATGCGTGGGCTGGGGGAGTCTTCGCGCGAAGTGAGGGGCCCTGGGGCCCCGCAGCGTCCCCCCATTCCTTTTCCTTCTTGGGGCATCGCTCGCTTCTTTTCTTGGTTGCTTCCGGTTGTTGTTCCTATAAGACTTTGGGCACAGGTGGCTCCCTCGCCAGCTCGGTCCTTTCGCGGAGTTACCTTGGAACCCTGGGAGGAGGTGGAGGCGCTGGCTGAGTTGCTGAGTTGGTGTTCATGGCTCAGGTCTTGCTACTGGTTCAGGTCAAAGGGGCTCGGTTGAACAGGGGATTTGTTGTCTTCGTTGCGATGTTTACGACTTCCATGACTGTTCTCCGCATTGTGTTGGTTGCCTTGCTGTTGTTGCTGTTGTCGTGTCGTTATCGCTACGGTAGCAGCCCGGTAGCATGGCCCCCGTCGCGAGTTCTGACCATGTTCATGTCTTATCCTCAGCATGCAGCGAAGACGATGTTGAACTCGGAAGTCTCGGCCCGTGAGGTTTCCCGAAGCTGGTGGCCTCAGAGAGGATCCCAGAAGTTTCAGGTTTCCAGTAGGGCTTGTTTTTGAGTCAAGTCTTGGCCTTCGGTGAGGCCCCGCTCCCAGACGAGAAAGTGCATGGAGCTCACTGGCACCGCGGCTGGCTGTGTGATTCGGATGTACCGCGGGTTTCTGCATGTCCGGTAGATCGAGTCTTAGGATACAAGTAGAACGGAAACGGCACAGAATTCTATCTATTGCTTCAGGATGAAGATGTGTTACTTGACGGCGATTTCATGGGCGGTGCTGTGTATGCACGCGAGTACTTGCAGTTTACATTCGGCCCACTGGTGCTTCCACATCTCGGCTTTGGCCTAAGTGGCTTCCCCACCTACACCTAGACTCGATACCCGAAAAACCCACAAACTCGGAAAAGCACAAGATCCTCAGTTCTCTTCTTTTGCCCTTTGGTCTCAGAGTAGGGTAGACTCTACTTGTCCTTGGCGGAGCTTTTGTTGTTTTTCTTGGAGCTGCCAGCATCTTTTGGGACCAGTAGCAAACTGTAGTGGCGGATGCGCGAGGCACAATTCTCGTCCAGTGCTCTGCCTGTGCACCAAGAAGCAGAACATAAGGGTACTGAGCACTGGCGTTCTTGCCTCAGGCTGGAGGCGCTGTTGGATTGGATCGCCTCTTTCCTGCAACATTTCGGCAATCCGGGTTTTCCTTCCCTTCAATCTGATGTGCTACGAACGAATCCTTGCAACTACTGCAGTTGGCTTTGTGCTAAGCATTTTCTGGTTTCTGTTTGGGTCTTTCATGCGGTTCTTTCCTGTTTGCTCCCGCCCTGCCTTTCTTGCCTTCCTTGCACCTGGTTGGCACCGGACCTTTGAGTTCTCGGAGCCGATAGCAAAGCAGTGCCCATCCCCTGGATTGTCTCCCTTCCTCTCTCTCTCTCTGTCGATATCTCTCTCTGGAGATTGTGGGGCCTGTTGGATCCGGCACGACTCCATTCCCGGACATTTATGCCCATCGCTGCGGACTGTTTCTCTCCTGTTGAAGATAGCCGGTGTCTCCTCAGTGCTCGGTGCAATCAGCAGTGCAATACAGAAAGGGACAGAGCTCGTTCCTTTTAGGTGCGGTGGCAGTCGCAGCTGAAACGGGCCACAACCGAATCCTCCCCCAACAAAGCCTGTGAACTCCCTCAAGAGCTGAAGCCGAATCCTCTTCCCCCGCAACAGCCCGGTTTTCTGCCGAAGGACCGGAGCGGATGGCTCCTTGCAGCCTCGGCCATCTGCATGGCTCCAGCGAGGCCGAAGCCGAAGCGGTTCGTCCTAGCCTTCGCGCAGGGGGGGAGGGGGGGGGGGGAAGGGAAACAAACTCCCACGACCTCCGCCCGCCCCGCCCCTCTCCTGGCAGACGTTATGGACTCCAGTCACGACTCCGCCAGCGCAGCGCGCTCCGAGCCGCGATGGACGCTGAGGGCCTCGGTGGCTTTCCCAGACACTTTAGACAACGCTGAAAAAGATTCCATATCACTGGGGTTCTATGATGCTTGATGGCGACGGTGGTGGCGGTGGTCTGCTTGCGGGGTGGCAGCCGTGGTGGTGGTGATTGTGGCGGTTGTGATGATGATGGTGGTGATGATGATCATGACGAACGCCAGGATAAGTGTCGTTCTTGTTCTTCTTCTTCTTGATGTTGATGTTGATGCTGATGTTGTTGATGATGATGATGAGAATATCGTGACTGTCGTGATGACGATGCTGCTGATGATGATGATGATGATGATGCTACTGCTTGTGCCTGTGCTGGCGACACTGGTGGGACGGGGATGGCATGACAGCAGCAACGACGGTGTCAATGACGCCGATGCCGAAGGCTTGGTATATCCAGCTAGCACTCTGGCTTTTGGCTTCCCATTGTCATGGGTAGTACCGTCAAGATTCCGCGTGATGAGTAAAGGAAGACAGAGAGGCAGAACGACGACAGCAACAGACCAGGGAGCGCGTGCCTTTGCCATTCGCTGTGTTTGTAAACTTCTTCAAGCCTGGATAGACGCATGCTTGCCTTGTTCCACTCGCGTTACCGGTGTTTGCTTCCTATCAGATTAAGTATCACTATGCGGGTTGACTCAGGTGGCTTTGTTGTCAAACTGGCGCTGCCTACCATCGAGGAGGAGTCGTCTTCGATAGCGTCCACGCCCTTTCAGCCAACACCACGTGGCAACCTCAGCCCGGGTACTGTATGTCGCCGAGAGTGTAGAGTGACCGCCGGAAACCCCTGCGTCAATTTCTCAGGTGAGCCTGACAGTGTCCCTGTCACGCCGGCTCCGGTAGAGCAGGTCAAAGAGGCTCGCGGCATGCTTTGCTTCGTTTGAATCAGGTCTTGGGGTCTTGGGCATCTCGCTGGCAGCTAGGCCTCTCTGAAGTCCTCAACCTTGTTCTGAGGAGACGGAGTGCAAAGTGCTGCCGCTGCCTGCGCAGCCTTGCGTGCCCCGTGCAGAACCGGAGGAAGAGGCGCCCAAGTTGCTTTGCCACTCTTCCTTGTTTGTCGAGAAGGGTCCGGGGTTTCCAGGAATTCAGAAATAGCAGTGGGCGATGACATCCTTTAGCCGTCTTTTCGGTTACGAGGAGCCAGAACTCCTTGTTTTGGTTTGATTTACACTCTTGTGTTTTGGCGGGGCAGTTACAGCATTTTTCCTTTGACGTACTGTAGCGTGGTAGAGCGAGGAGGAGGAGGCGGGGGCTGAAGAGGGAACGAGCGCCTTATCGGCCTCCTTCTAGGCACCGCCGTCTGACAAGCAAGCGCCGCCGCCGCCACCTCCACCACGCGTGCCTGTGGCTGCATGTCACGAGGTTTGGAACAACAGCTCATTTCGGTACCTACCCGCCCTTATCCCACCTCGCATGCTAAGATGGCTTCCGTTGGGTCCCGCTATAGTCGCCAAGCACAGGTATCCTGGCGCCGCTCGGCGCCGTCATTCACGTTGTCTGAAGAGGCCCGGAGAGGTGATGGGGAGGAGATCCGTCCAGCGACTCAGCCCGAGCCCCATCCGTTCAAGCGTTGGACGGCCGAGTAGCCGCGGTCGCGAGCTGGAAGTCGTAAGCAGTCTGGCGATAAGAAACCCCCAAACCCTCAGAACATCACTCATCAACGATGTGACGATGTGTGCCAAGCCAGGTCTACCGGTCCGAAGAACTGGGCCTACGTTGCGCCCACCGTGCGGTGGTGGTGCCGGCCGAGACTCACACAAAACCTCAGGCACAAAGGTTTAAGTGCGCTTTGGTGTGTCGAGATTTTTGGGTTTGGGGAGTTCGTTTCAGCTAGTTGACCGTTCGTGGAAACACCATTTCACGTCGTACGGATCCTATGATTGACCCTACAAGGGCCTTGCAAGACTGAAAGAATGACGGGGGCCTATTGAATTCTCGCTGCACTCTCGGTCTGAAAAACGTTTGCCAGAGGCAGCCGAGACTGCCAGCGCGACGAAGGCCGCAGTTGAGGTAAAGAGGTTCTTGCGGGTGAAGCCTGAGGCTTATCCACTTGTTATCACGTAAGCCTTATCCGTCTACGTACAACCCTGTGGGACCTACGGTGCAGAAATCGGAAGTCTAAAGTTTCTGCAAAGCGCTGTGCAAGGAACTGGCTGGGCCATCAGCTGGAGCCCACTACCACATCCTAAGACCTAAGACCATCATGAGTTGCTATGACTTTTTTTAGATTGTTATAATGGGCATCGAGAACGTCAGTGCCAGGAGCCAAAGCCGCCCCAGCCGAAGCAGACGCGCAGACCGCGCTTTGCCGTCAGGCAGGGGGCAGACGGGGGCAGTTTGAAGGATTCCCAGAGGCTTCAAAGGCGAAAGGCCTGGTAGAAGCAGCTGCCAGAGGCCCAAGAAGTCCAAGAAGGGTTCGGGTTTCTCGGGGGCTTCTCGGGGGAAAAAGTGGAGAAGCCGACTTGCAGGTCGCATCCTCTCCCAGCCTCCCTTCGACCACTGCCTCCACTGCCTTCTGTCGCCGAGGACGCTCGGTCAGAAGACTCCCCAGCTCAGAGGGATTAGGTGATCAGGGGCGTTTAGGTTGGAAGGTAACGGAGCTTCAACCGGGCATCGCTTGAGTAGCCACTTAAAACCAACAAGCACACTGACGAGAACCATCCGTCGTTGTTTACAGCAAGCCCAACCGGCGAGAAGGGACTGGCCTTCCCCAAAGCCCAAGTCCCGCAACTTTGAACCTCCAAAGAGATTGCTTTCGTGTGAGGCTCGGGGATCATTGCCACTCCTCAACCTGCGGAAAACCCTCTACTAGATCTTGGGGGTCGTGACAGGGGGTGAGGCAACTCAGGAAACGAGGGTTTGGGGCTTTTTGAGGCTCCTGTGTAGGGTCCGGGCATGTAGGGTCTTGGCAGAGGGTTCTGTTGGGGTGTGTTTAGTGCTTCTTTCCTAGGCAGCTAGACGAGAATGCTGGTGAGTTCATGTTTGGGAAGTTTGTCACGAGAAGGGTCGGAACTCCTGGCGGGCGCACCGCCTGTTCTGAACAGACAGCCTGCGCTCATTGCAGCCAAGGCACCAGACCAAGTGGACGAATCCCCCAAGGCCCCCACAGAGGACGGGCATTTCGGGAGCCGTCTACGCCGGTCACGGAGTGTCTTCGGAATGATGGAGGCTTGTACCACGTCTTTATTGAAAATGCAAGAAAGTTCATCCATTGGGTGAGCCGCTCCGGGTCGATGCAGAGTATGCAGAATCAGCACCACCGGTAGCAATGCCATTCCTTCGGGTTCCTATTGCTTCCTGCGAGGTGATGCAGCCCCAGCCCGAAGTCGCGAGATCTGAGGCCGGGATCGGGTTACCACCGGGAGTTTTGTGTAAGCACATCGAGTGCAAAGACGGGGAGCCGACAAAGAAAGTCGCTTTTGGGTTCGTGGCAGGGTCCAAGTTGGTGGTGGTACTACAGTAGCAGCCCTATGTTCACTGCGGTGCCGAGCTAAACGGCAGCCACAGAAAGACTGATGCCGATTTTCCCTCCGCTGCAAGCTTGCTTTCCGCTTCTGCTCTCTCTCTCTCTCTCTCTCTCTCTCTCTCTCTCTCTCCACTGGTCTCTTTCATCTTCAACAGAGGACGCCCCAGATGGATACCCTAAACCCAAAATCCCTCGGCGCTGTTCGAGACTCAGCAAGGGAGGCAATGTGAGGTTTTGTGCCATGACTTCATCATTGGGCTTCGAAAGTGTGAGTGCATGATAGATTATGAGATGTGTGTATCGAAGCCAGGTTCCCATTCCGGCCATCCGGCCGACATTGCCAAAGCTTGCATTGCCTTCGCCGAAGGCCCAGGACCAATCTCTTTTTTTAGCACGGCATGGTTTCAGCTTGAAAGGGTGTCGGGCGTCAGGCTTTCTATAAATCCGAAGACCTTGATTCAGCGCGGATGTTCACAGGTGAGGCCGTTGGTGTAGACGAAATCATGCTGGTCATGACGATGATGTTTACGAGGAATATGATGAGGGTGGTAGCATGGTAAGCTGAGCTAGTCGACGAAGACCGATAATTAGGGCAGCATGGGCATCCCCGGGACTACATCTCCGACCGGACCATTCGAGCCCCTACACGTCGCAAGTGCGAAAGGCCACAAAGTTAGCAGCCATCATGCAAGTCCTACACATCCTGTCTTGATACCTCGCCTGACGCCGTCGAGTGCGAGTGCCAAAAACTTCCGAAACAAATGTAAACACTCGAACCAAAAGGCTGAATGCAAGAGCCGGCAGACGAAACGGCTTAAACCGACAAGTACTTTCACGCCTGGAAGCCCTCAGTCTCCCTGGTCAGTCGCCCCACTCCCTTCGCGACCTTCTCGGGTTTTGCCACGCGAGAGCCACTAGAAAGCCTCTTATTGTACACTCCACTGTTGTGAAATAGAGACAGCCAAATCTATCTGTGTGTGTGTGTGTGTGTGAAAAATACATGTGTGCATTATACATATATATATATATACATATATATTTATTCTATTTTACATAGATGGGTGGTGTGTGTATATGCATATTTGTGCATATGCGTAGGGCGTAGGAGCTGGATGTCTGCAAGTCCTCCCAGGACCTCGGGGAGCTCCGCCGCCGGGCGCGGATAGCGTCGAAGCGCAGCGCCTCCCTCCCACGGCCTCTTGGATCCGTAACAGTAGTAGTAGTAGTAGTAGTAGTAGTAGTAGTAGTAGTAGTAGCAGTAGTAGCAGTAGTAGCAGCAGCAGCAGCAGGAGTAGTAGTAGTAGTAGTAGTAGTAGTAGTAGTAGTAGTAGTAGTAGTAGTAGTAGTAGTAGTAGTGGTGGATCTCTTTCGGTGAAAAAAAGCTAGGACTCGTACGAGAGCGAGGGCGAGTCCTCAGAGAAGAGTATGGGTGGGATAAACTCGGAGGCTGCCGGGTTTCACGGGTCCGCCTGGTTTCTTCTTGGTCCAGGATCGGACCCCCGAATCCTACGTATACTCCAAGACTCCAAAGAAACCCTCGTCAGGCTTCAAAAAAACGCTAGAAGACTCTCAGTTATCGAGGATCGGTGCTGTGGCCCCGCTCGGCTCGCCGCGGGCGTTGGTGTGCTTCTTTGAGGTCCTCTTGGGATGCGCGCTGTGAGAGGGGGTGTAAAGGTTTTGGAGGATTTGCAAGGTTGTTTAATTAAGGGGCTTGGAGAGCAGAAGCTTCAAGGGTAGTGCGTTTGTGAGCGGAGGGAGCGAGTGTCGATGCCACGGCCATGCTTGAACTCATCCGGACCGAGACAGCTTTCGACTGCTGCAGGAGGCGATCGGCTCCAAAATAAGCTCTTTGACCTGAGATTCTTGCACACCATAGTTTCCACATCCTGAAGAGCACATCGCAACTGCCAGAAGTATTGTTCGGAAAGCCGTGGGGTGAGTCAGGGTGAGTGGAGGATCTTGCAAGGGAAGTCGGGGTGTCTTTGCCAGGAGCCGGCGCCCGTGTTACCTTCGCTCCTGGACGCCTTTCGGCGGCATTGGGTCTTCCGAAATTTGGGCTGGGCGCACACTTCGTCATTACCCCGACACCTGCAGAGTGCACTGACACTGAGACCTAAGAACAGTCCACTAAACAGAAGACAAAGGACAAAGCCATTGAGCTCGAAGCCTCGCGGGAGCCCCACTCAAACCTCACACAAGCTTGTTTCGGGTTCCATCTTGCCATCCCCTGTGGAAAATCCATCTGTTTCGGCATCGGTCTGTCGAGCGGAGCTTGGTAGTTTCAGACACATGGGACCCTGATGCAGAGCTTCAATGCAATAGTGAGACGTGTCCGCGATGGTTTTCTGAATCCTTCATGGCAGGATCCTTACTGTGTCTTTACCAGCAGTGCCGGTACTCCCAAGTGCTTTGCCCAGAAGGATCCATTCTGCGCGTTCCAGGAAAGTTCCAAGTCGCCACGGCCTTCGCCGCGAGACCCGCCGCATGACCGCAGATGGAAGAACGGAGCCTGGGGTTCCCTCGCTGACTCTGCCTCCTCCGGCTTCGAGGCCCTGGCCATTACGTAGGACTGCCGTTCTTAAGTATAAGAGAGCTGCCCAAAATGTTACCGCAGCCACCGACTCATGTTGGCGCATCGGGAGCTGCACCAATCAGATCTAGGAGGCTTCGCGGGACTGGCTCGCGCAGAGGGCCGAAGCAGATCGCCGGAGGGGGGCGGTGAACAGGATCATTGATTCGTTCGTTTCAGGCTCCATTGCCCAGATCCTGTTTACAGCGCTTGCTGTGTTTGGCTCTCCCCCTGTCCTGTTTACAGCGCTTGCTGATTCTGTTTGCAGCGCTTGCTGTGTGGTTGCCCCTATCCTGTTTACAGCGCCTGCTGCGTGATGTTGCCAGATCCTGTTTACAGCGCTTGCTGTATGGTGTTGCCCCTATCCTGTTTGCAGCGCTTGTTGTGTGGCTCTGCCCCTATCCAGTTTACAGCGCTTGCTGTGCGGTGTTGCCCCGGCCTATCCTATTTACAGCGCTTGCTGTGTGGTGTTGCCCCTGTCCTGTTTACAGCGCTTGCTCTGTGGTGGTTTCCCTACCTATCCTGTTGACAGCGTTTGCCGTGTGGCTCTGCCCTATCCTGTATACGGCGATTGCCGTGTGGTGTTGCTTCTATCTTATGTACAGCGCTTGCTGTGTGGCATTGCCCCCTTGATGTTTACAGAACTTGGTGTGTGGCATTGCCCCTATCCTATTTGCAGCGCTAGCTGTTTTGTGTTGCTTCTATCTTAATGTACAGCGGTTGCTGTGTGGCTCTGCCCAGCTCAGCCCCTATCCTGTTTACAGTGGTGTTGCCCCTATCCTGTTTACAGCGCTTGCTGTGTGGTGTTACCCCTATCCTGTTTACAGCGCTTGCTGTGTGGTGTTGCCCCCATTCTGTTTACAGCGCTTGCTGTGCGGTGTTGCCCCTATCCTAGTTACAGCGCTTGCTGTGTGGCTCTGCCCCTATCCTGTGTACAGCGCTTGCTGTGTGGCTCTGCCCCGGCGCTTGCCGTGTGGCTCTGCCCCTATCCTGTGTACGGCGCTTGCTCTGTGGCTCTGCGCGCATCCTGCTTACAACGCTTGTTGTGTGGCTCTGCCGCTATCCAGTTTACAGCGCTTGCTGTGTGGTGTTGCCCCTATCCTGTGTACAGCGCTTGTTGCGTGGTGTTGCCCCTATCCTGTTTACAGCGCTTGCTGTGTGGTGTTGCCCCTTTCCTGTTGACAGCGTTTGCTATGTGGCTCTGCCCCGATCCTGTTTACAGCTGTGTGGTGTTTACAGCGCTTGCTGTGTTGTGTTGCCCCATGTTGCCCCTATCCTGTTTACAGCGCTTGCTGTGTGGTGTTGCCCCTATCCTGTTTACTGCGCTTGCTGTGTGGCTCTGCGACTGTTTGCAGCGCTTGCTGATTCTGTTTACAGCGCTTGCTGTGTGGTGTTGCCGCTATGCTGTTTACAGCGTTTGCTGCGTGGTGTTGCCAGATCCTGTTTACAGCATTGATGTATGGTGTTGCCCCTATCCTGTTTGCAGCGCTTGTTGTGTGGCTCTGCCCCATCCAGTTTACAGCGCTTGCTGTGTGGTGTTGCCCCTATCCTGTTTACAGCGCATGCTGTGTGGTGTTGCCCCTTTCCTGCTTACGGCTCTTGCTGTGTGGAGTTGCCAAATTGTATCCTGTTTGCAGCGCTTGCTGTGTGGCATTGCGGCATGCCCCGATCCTGTTAACAGAGCTTGCTGTGTTGTGTTGCCCCCCTCCTGTTTACGGCGCTTGCTGTGTTGTGTTGCCAGCAGGAGTGCGAACCCCCCTCGTTGTGTTGCCCCTATCCTGTTTACTACGCTTGCTGTGTGGTGTTGCTGCTATCCTATGTACAGCGGATGCTGTGTGGCATTGCCCTATCCTGTTCACAGCGCTTGCTGTGTGGTCTTGCTTCTATCTTATGTCCAGCTGTGTTGCTTCTATCCTATGTACCGCGGTTGCTGTGCGGCTTTCCCCTTATCCGTTTTGCAGCGCTTGCTATGTGGTGTTGCTTCAAGTTTATGTACAACGGTTGCTGTGTGGCATTGCCCCTATCCTGTTTACAGCGCTTGCTGCGTGATCTGTTTAATTTCTATCTCATGTACAGCGGTCGCTGTGTGGCAGTGCCCCTATTTTGTTTACATTACAGCGCTTGCTGGGTGGTCTTGCTTCTATCTTATGTACAGCGGCTGCTGTGTGGCATTGCTCTTATCACTCTTATCCTGTTTACAGCGCTTGCTGTGTGGCTTTGCTTTAATCTTATGTACAACGGATGCCGTATGGCATTGTCCCCATCCTGTCTACAGCGCTAGCTGCGTGGTGTTGCTTCTATCTTACGTACAGCGATTGCTGCATGGCAGTGCCCATATCTTGCTGTGCAGTCTTTCTTCTATTTCATGTACCGCGGTTGGTGTGTGGAGTTGCTCCTATTCTTTTTGCAGCGCTTGCTGTGTGGTGTTGTCGCTATCTTATGTACAGCAGTTGCTGTGTGGCATTGCCCTTATCCTGTTTACAGCGCTTGCTGTGTGGTGTTGCTTTTATCCTAATGTACAGCAGTTGCTGTGTGGCATTGCTCCTATCCTGTTCACAGCGCTTGCTGTGTGGTGTTGCTTTTCTCTTATGTACAGCGGGAGCTGTGTTTACGGCGCATGCTGTGCGGAATTGCTTTTATCTTATGTACAGCGGTTGATGTGTGGCATTACCCCTATCCTGTTTACAGCGCTTGCTACGTGGTGTTTTTTCTCTCTTATTTGCAGCGCATTGCCCCGATCCTGCTTACAGCGCTTGCTGTGTGGTGTTGCCCCTATCCTGTTTACAGCGCATGCTGCACTGCCCCTATCCTGTTTACAGCGCTTGCTGTGTGGCATTGCCACCTTCCTGTTTACTTCGCTTGCTGTGCGGTTTTGTTTTTATCATATGTACAGCAGTTGCTGTGTGGCATTGCCCCTACCCTGTTTTTACAGCGCTTGCCGTGTGGTGTTGCTTCTGTCTTAGGTACAGCGCTTGCTGTGTGGCATTGCCCCCTTGCTGTTTACAACACTTGCTGTGTGGCATTGCCCCTATCGTGTTTATAGCGCTTGCTGTGTTGTGTTGCTTCTATCTGAATGTACAGCGGTTGCTGTGTTGTATTGCCGCTATCCTGTTAACAGTGCTTGCTGTGTGGTTTTGCCCCTATCCTGTTTACAGCGCTGTGTGGCCCCTATCGTGTTTGCAACGCTTGATGTGCGGCATTGCCCCTATCCTGTTTACTTCGCTTCCTGTGCGGCTTTGTTTTGTCCTATGTACAGCAGTTGCTGTGTGGCATTGCCCTTATCCTGTTTACTACGCTTACTGTGTGGTGTTGCTGCTATCCTATGTGCAGCGGATGCTGTGTGGCATTGCCCCTATCCAGTTTACAGCACTTCCTGACTGGTTGTGTTTCTATCGCATGTACAGCTCTTGCTGTGTGGTGTTGCATTTGTTTTATGTACAGCGGTTGCTGCTTTCCATTGCCTCTGTCCTGTTTACAGTGCTTGCTGGGTGGTTTTGTTTGTATCTCATGTAGTTCGCTTGCTCTGTGGTGGTGCCTTTTTAGGCCCTGTTCCTATGTAAATACAGTGGTTGCTGTGTGGCATTGCCCCTATCCTGTTGACAGCGCTTGCTGTGTGGTTTTGCTTCTGTCTTATGAACAGCGGCTGCTGTGTGGCAATGCCCCTATCCTGCTTACAGTGTTGCTGTGTGTCTTTGTCGCCTATCCTGCTACCAGCGCTTGCGCTGTGGTTTTGCTGGTATCTTGCGGCATTGCCCCTATCCTGTTTACAGCATATGCTATGTGGTGTTGCTTCTATCTTATGTTTACAGAACTTGCTGTGTGGCTTGGCCCTTAATTATGCGGTTTGCAGCACTTGCTGTGTGGCTTGGCGCCTGTGCTGTTTACAGCGCTTGCTGTGTGGCTTTGCCCCTCTCCTGTTTACAGCGCTTGCTCGCTGGCTTGGCCCCTATGCTGTTTACGGCGACTGTATTGTGGGCGCCGTTTACAGCTTGCTGTGTCTGGACCGCCGCGCGCTGCACCGCTTCGCTGTGCACGCGCTCTCAGACCGTTACAGCTTGCTGTGTGGCTTTATGCCGCGTGCCGAGCTTGCTGTGTTGTTTGACGCCCATACTGTTTACAGCGCTTGCTGTGTGGCTTGGCCCCTATCCTGTTTACCGGCTTGCTGCATGGCTCGGCCCCTATCCTGTTTACATAATTACGGTGTGGCTTGGCCCCTGTCCTGCTAGGCTCTTATGCTGTTTACAGCGCTTGCTGTGCGGCTTGGTTCTTGTGTCGATTTCAGCACTTGCTGTGTGGCTTGGTCTTTCTGCTGTTTACAGCGCTTGCTGTGTGACTAGCTAGGCCAAGCTTCCCCCTTTATGTCTTGTGCACCCTAAACCTCAAAACTGAGCACTGGGTCAACAAAGGATCTCAAGGGGGGAGGTGCTGTTAGCTAGTAGATTCTTAGGCCGTATTGGTGACGTGTTGTGTCACAACTTTTTTGCAGCCTCACTCAGCAGACCTCGAACCACATGGAACCACATGCCTCGCCTGGAGTGTCCGAGTGTAAGCGCCGAAACCAATGGACTCTGAACCCTGAGCCGGTTGGTTTTGCTTGTGACCCGAGACTGCCCAGGATCCGACTCCCACCCCGCAAGATCTGATAAGAGAGATCTCGTCTGCACCCCGAGATCCCGTTCGGATGATTCTGTTCGTGTTGCTGCCCAGCCCCTGAAGAAGCTAGCACATCTTATCGTGACAATAGGGGAAAGGGGCCTACACTACTGTAGTACCCTTGCCTGGCTTAAGCGTCTCCGAACTTTCAAGTTCCAAAACACCCTGTTTGCCTGTTTCAAGTCGTGAGTGCCTGTTTCACAGGCCCGCAAAGGCTTACAACCGTAAAGGTCCTGAGCCCTATCATACGCCGCAACATAACTATGATGCTCATGCGGCAACCATGCTACAATAATGCTATCAGAAACTATCATATACTAGCAAATCCTATCATATGCTGTCACATACTTTGATATATAAGTAGGGACGGGGCTAAGCCGCAAGGTTCTCCTTCTACTTCGACGATGTTGCGGCCTCGGGGCGCAGAGCAAACTCGGCTGGCGGATGAGATCAGTAGGGCCAACCAGAAGACGCGGAATACCTATTTTACCAGATTTTTGGGTCTTGAGACAGCTACACATTGAAACAGGCGTCGACATGTTGCTTAATAATGCTTAATACAGTAGTGCTCGTTCTCAAGGGTTCCCTGATTCGGTTTTGGAACATATGATACTCGAGTTGTGAGAGTGTAAACGTTGTTCTTGTTACCATCCCTAGAAGGTATTTTTTTCAAATTTTCCTGCTCGGAATCATTCACGCCCATCAAGTACAATCAGTACAATCCAGATGATTAGCGCGCTCGATGGCTACGCGGGCAACAACGACGACAGCTGCAGTAGCAAGAGAAGAAGGAATATCAGGACCATCCACGATGAACTCTCTTCCAGCCTGTTGACGAGACTGAACACGCGGTGGGCCAAAAGTGCCTGGATCAATCATCTCGGGCTAGTGGCCACGAGTAAAATGCAGCCAGGCAAGACAAAAAAGAACGGACGCTAGGAGAAACCGAAGATCCGAAACCTTCTCCTGGGATGGCCTCCGAAACAGAAGCATGGCTTCGGCCTTTTGACCTCTTTTCGGGGTCTTGTGACTTACGGTGCCTTTGTATTTGGAGAGCAGCTTCCCAGATGGACTACACCGGTGCAAGCGGCGACAGCGACTCGGTTCGGCCTGGCACCCAGCAGCATGGAGGATGCATTCCTCGGCAGAACCGGACGCAGTCGCTCAAGAAAGTGCGGTTTTCGTGTGCTGTTTGCGTTAAGAGCAGACGGAACTTTGTGCACTTCGTCCGAGTTTAACACAAGGCTCGGGAGTACAATTCATCCAGGGCATTCCTTTGATTGGATATTTCCCGACAGCTACTCTTCCCGGTCTTACTAGAACTAGCACTACCATGGCTATTGTTCCTGCCATTGATATCACATCCATGACCATTGCCAGTAGAAGCTAGTCTTACTAATTACTACTACCTACTGGTGTTGCTGATGCCAAGGCTGCTAAGAAGGGGGGGCCCCGAGATGCCCCGAGACTTCTCCAGGTCTTGGTCGAAGGAGAGCTTCGCAGAGATGGACGGGCGGCTGCAGGGATCTGCAGTTGGGACTCAGGTGGTTCAGGGCTTTGTTGGATCTTGGGGTTTTGTGTTCGGAGTTTCGGGGCTTTTCGGCCCAGGAAGTTTGGAAAGTAGGCTCACGGACTTGAGCTGCCGTAACCACGCCTGACCTTCATGACCCCATCTATTGTTGATGAGTGGTTGGCTTGTGCCAATCTCGTGCCGCTGCAATTTCGTTTTGAGTTGACAGCTCTCTTGCTTTTTATCAAAGAGGGGTGTGACGGCGAAGACTGTTTTGCTCCGGCTGTCCTGGTCTCGGGCAGTTTGCCATGCCCTTGGCCGAGGCTTTGAATGCTCCTGTCTTGCTTGCGCAGGACACGCACTGTCACAGTCCCGAGGAAAACTTGATTTCGCCGAGTTCTCCCTGCTCCTCCCCGAGGCGCACCCACCAGTAGGGTTTGGTGGAGGGGTTTGGGCCTCAAGAGTTTGTGAGGAAAGCGACCCCTGCCGCTCATTCCCGGACCACATAATGTGGTTTTGAAGGCACAAAGCCTGGAGCGGTTGGGCCCGGGCGGTCATCGAGAGACGAAGCCTTTCCATGTGCTCCTTCAGGGATCATTGAGGCTGCCGGCAGGCCCTGCAGGCCCTGCAGGCCCTTGGTCTTGGTCTTGGGGTCCCTTTTGGGGTTCCTGGGACTCAAGGAAGGTGCAACCAAGCCAGGTGGATCCCAGACAGAAGCCTTGCTGGGCTTTTGTTTTGAGGAAGTTTGGAACTAGCACCATGAGGAACGCGCATATCATGTCTTTGATCATGCCCTTATTTGGGTGGCGACAATTGATTTCCACAATCCGGAATCTTCTTCTGATTTCCCCCAATCTGGTGGAACCCACATTAAGTTCTTCCAGGAGAACCCTGCGAAGTCTTTGACATTCGTTCTAAAGCCCTTTACAGCATTAAGTGCTTGAGCCCCACACCCTGGGCTTCTTCAGCTACCCTTTCCCTGGAATCTTCAACCTCAACTCAGCTCCTGAGAGAGAAGTGGAGGTGCGGAGCTCGCGGGTCCATCTGCAGCCGTGAGTCAACGGCTCTGGCGACCGACCAGGCGAGTCGGTTCAGGATTCTTCAAGTCTTTTTCGCTTCTTCTTTCTTTCAAAGGTGGTGGTTGTTTCAATGGGGTCTATCAGTCTATCAGGTTGCTATGAAGGGCTCCAGAAGGCTTGCTCCAGGGTTCTGGGGTCAGAACACACTTCTCTCAGCTTCTCCGTTGCCGTTCCAACTTTATTGGATGATCCTCGGGGTTCAGGGCTTCGATTGCTGGAGCTTGCCGGGTGAAGTTGCAGAAGGCTGCACCAAAGGGCCTGCGTCATCACTTGGTGTTGGATACTTTGGGGTTGGGGTCCTGATGCTGCAAATCATGGATGGCATCGAACCGGCCAAGGTAATATTCAAGCATGATCTCTAACCCCGAAGGACGAGCCGTGCCAAGACTTCTGAAGCCCCCCAGAGACTGCGCAAGCCTGCAAAGCTTCGGAGAGCCTTGGGAGATCCATGTTGCCACAGGAAGAGTTGGCGCAGAAGTCATGGTTTCGTTCTCAGAAGCTCGTGTCGCTTAGATCTTGGCTGCATGCTCTGCAGCTCAGAGGTAAGGGCTTTCAGGGGCCGAGTTGCGTTGCATGGGGTTGCAGGGTCCTGGTGCCTGGGGTTCTAGCCTTGGGTTTAGAATATCTTAGCTGGCTTGTGGGGTGGTGGGGCCTGGGCAGACGAGCTTCTTCCAGGCGTCATGGGCCTTGTAGGGATCCCATGCGCTGATTTCTAAAATGCTTCAGACGGGTAGTCGATGTACGAAGCGCAAGAACGGCTGTGGTTCTGGTGCCCTCCTGGATTAAGGCAATGCTAGAACGAAAGACTGGTGAAAAAGTAACCTTGCTGCGAGCTTTCGGGAATCCTTGCTGAAGCCGGCCCGTGCATAGGTCTGGCTCGAGAGACAGCTCTTGAAGAGAGCTGCCTCAGTGGGCCAAAGTGCTCAGAGCAGGCAAGATTCTAGTTTTCGTCTACGGGTCATGCTTCCTACTGCATGACAAGGGCAAGCTGAACTCGAAGTAGATGGCCCTTCTGGGACCACCCCCAAACATGCCAACCCCCACACTCAGACTCTCCTGCACCATGAGGCTCGTGAAGCCCATATTCAGGTCGAGTCGCGCAGTTTACGAAGCCTAATCCTTCGCCGCATCGTGTTTGTGCCATGTGAAGCAAATGCTATGCTCCTGTACAACAACCGGAGACTGTTGCGGCTCCTTTTGCAGCGACAGGGGAGCATTTTCTTCCGGCCTGAGACGCTGCTGGCGGGATTCGTGCTTGCCGGACTTGGTGCCGCCGTCCAGCACTCGATAGATAGTGGCTGGGAGTACGCTCCAAGCATCGAACACCACTACGGCTTCCAGGCAGTGGGAGTTGGAGTTACTTTCGCCATCGTCTTCCGAACCCAACTGGCGTGGGGAAGGTTCTGGGAGGCAGTTACCCATCTCCACATGATGTACAGCAAGCGCCTCGTCTGAATGCTGTTCGCAGAATTCTCCCTCTCTATAGAAATTTAAGAAGAAAAGAAGAAATCTCGGCTTTGAGTAGTCCTGGTCCCCTGGTCCTGGTGAGGTGGATGGATGCTTTCGCACAGTTTCAGGCCTGGCTGCCGCGTCCTAGCGCTTTTTTGTCCTAACGAACCCCCCAAACCCGCAGCTGAAGGCTGCAGATCGTAACAGAACACTGCGGAATGGATGTAGCAGAATCTGTTTCTGAAGCACGTCGGTCTTTGGCCGGATGGGCTCGCTCTAGCTGACCTCAGCTCTCGTTATCTCTCTCTCTCTCCCTCAGATCTCTCTGTCTCTCTCTCTCTCTCTCTCTCTCCCCCAGTCTTGCTCGTGCGTGCATGAAAGAACATCTCGTGCACTCTCAAGTGCGCGTGTGCGTGTGTGTGTGTGTGTGTGTGTGTGTTCTCCCTGTATGGATGCAGGTGTGTGTCGTTTGTTGGTGTGCGTCGCCGCGCCGTTGTGCTATCCCCAGCAGAGCCTCAGAGCCCATTCGGTCAACCGCTGCAAGGCTTTTGCAGAGATCACGGCCAAGGCGGCATTCGAGGACGTCCTGTGGATCAGCTTCAAGATTTAGACTCTCGCAGGGTCTTAGTGCTTAGATCCTCCAAAAGAGTCACATAGTGGGATCTCCATTGCAAGTGCCACGAAACAACTTTCTATGACTTCCGGTTGGAGCTCGTTGCAGGTTGTCGGGTTCAGGGTTTTGCTTTAGGGTTTGTGGAGGGGTTAAATCTTGGCTCGGGCTAAGTAGGGAGATGTGAGACAATGCATGCATGCTCTTTGCTGGGTGTGTGTCAGAGGCATGTTGATCTCTCAGCTTTTGAAGAGAATCCTAGAGGGAGCTCCAGCCAAGTTGCCGTGATGCGAGGAGCGTTGACGGGGACTTAAGAAAATGGGAGACCCGGGCCCCCCCTTCCCCAAGAATCAGCGAGGAGGGCAATCGGGCCAGAGCCGACCTGCTTTGGCAGAAGCAGCCGCTTTTTCAGAACGGTTGGGTGATTCGTGAGTCGTATGCAGACCGCTTGCTTTGTGCAGACATACATAAAGCCTCGAGAAGAGCTGGCAAGTCCCAGAGCAGGTTTCCAGATGTCGGCCTCTGGAAGGTTTGGCTTCGGGGACGTAGGGCAAACATCACCGCTGCAGGTTCATAGGAACCTTGAAGCCAGCTCAAAATTCCCACATCCCTGCCTCGGCCCTCGCCGGCCCCTGTACAGCAGCCCGAAACCCTCTGAAATGCCCATGGCATGGCCCATGGTCGTGATTCGCCGCAGTTTTCTCCGAATCCAGGCTACGGATGAAGTGGAACTTCGCCTTGCTCAGCGCCTTTGCAGCGGAAAGGCTTTCACGTGGAGACAATGAGCGTATGAAGGAGGGCCCCCGCCGGCCCCTGCATCAGGGTTTAGGGCTAGCGGCTAGGGAAGGTCTATGGAATCTTGATGTTGGCCTCCGTTCCTTGACTTAGTGATTCAGTGTCGTGGACACCGGGGTTTTGTTCTTCTTCTTTGTTGGGTTTGTCGAAGCTGCACGTCGCATGTTTTGCATGCGGTCCCTTTCCCACGCTCCCGTTCCTGAAGAAGAGGAACAAAGACGCAGCAGCAGCGTCGGCAAAGCAACAACAGCAACAACTGCTACCCCTTTTCCTCCTCCTCCTCCTCCTGCTCCTCCTGATGCTCGTGACATACGGTCAGGTTCACACTTGTGGTGAGATTCACAATTGCCATAGCACGAGCACGTCCCGGCATGGATGGTTTTTGGTCGAACTCATATCCCGGAGCATGCCTCCCTCTCTGTCAGTACATTGCCAACTCCCTCTCTGTCAGTACATTGCCAATTCCAGTCCTGCTCGAACTGGGCGCAGTTGCTGTTCCTCAGCCATTGCTGGCCTTCGGTCCTGCGTTGTTTTCTACAAGGCATCCGTCCTGCTCCTGATGATGATGATGGTGGTGTTACGGGTGATGATGATCATCATGATGACGATGATGACGATGATGACGATGGTGCCTATGCTGCTGGTGCTGGTGGTTCCTGGTGGCCGTAGGATTAGTATAGCACATTCTGCGGCCGCGCCTACGCTCGTCGTCATGCTTACGATGACTGTTGCATTGACTGACGAACATGTTCATTTCTACTCTTTGATCTCTTGTAATGCTGTCTTCAAGACAAGCGAGACTGCTTCTGTGAAGGTTTGATCGTGTGGCTTTGGCAAAGATTGCAAAGCATGTGGAAGTTTCAGAAAATGAGGCAAGGCAAAATAAATACAGAAAATAGTAGCAAGAGTGTCCATGGTAACAGCAGGCGAGATCCTTGTCCGAAGGACCCGGAAAAGGGACCTAAACCTTTTCCATGTTCCAGAACGTCCGCAGCGCCTGACAGGACGATGGCTTCGAGCGCATACGCTCACGGATTTCCATGCGAGTCGAGGTTCACCGGCATGCAGACGTCCGTCACAGAGGGTCGCAATTTCGAGTTTTCGCGAAACGGCCACTAGGACCTAGGAACAGAAACCACTTAAGTAAGGCTTGGGGTTAAAGTTGAGTTTTGATATAGATTTGGTTCGTCGGAAGTGACGCAAGACTTAGCTATGCAGGAACACGTCAGGGAATGTCAGGGCGCGCGTGTGTGCGCGTGCGTGTTTCGTATGAATTCTGATTTCTGGGTCTTTACTGGAGTTAGCTGGAGACTCTTACTTTCTCTTATCAAAGCCTGAAGTATATAGACTTTCTTTAAGCTTATATTCATCAGCTGATTAACACAGCCTGGAACCAATATAGGTTGCCACAGCCCATGGAAGCCGGAGCCATAACCCTTAAGTCGAAGCCCTAAAAAAAAGCAGGACGAGCGCTGTGCAGCTTCGCTTCCGAAATTCGTGGAGAGGACTTCACTTCTTTCGAGTGCACGGAGTTCCCGAAACCGAAACAGCAGTATAGGGCTGTCGCCCTCGGAAGTAATCTCTGTCCCCGTATAGTCCATGTATGCGGTAAATCGTGGTGCAATCTTTACGCCCAAACCTCGATGTAGCTGTGAAGCCCCCTTTGAATAACAAGCCCAGAAGGACTAGTTCCTCGAAGGCCCGCGCACGCGTAATCTCAGGGCCTCTGGATCTCCAGGGCCCAGGGCCTTTACTTCTATCAGGGTCTTTTCGGATCTCTTCAAGGATGCTGGAGGAGTGTTCAGAACGACCTCTGTAATGAAGTCTCGCAGAGGACGAATATCACTTCACTCCGCTATGCCGTTATGCATCTGATATGTCCCACAGCTGCAGAAGTGCCTGACACCTGCCTGAACCCAGAAGGCTAGTATGAGCCCTGAAAGCCTGAATTCCACGGCGCTGTGGCCCCTGGTTTCGTTTCACAGGAGGCATTTCAAGCGTGACAGCATGTACGATGCCTATCCCATCTTCGAGCTCCCCTCAAAGGAGCCGACATGTGGGCGCTTCTCTAAAGTAGCATCGTTTTATGGACCCCCAAAAGTGCGGTACCCTGACCAGAAGGACACCAAGAGGGACCCCGACCCTATTTGTGAAAATCTTTCTTGTGTGAATAATCGCCAGCAATGCTGTTTGCGGCTCCGAAGATCGTAGGCAGTGGGCACCTTCAGAACGCTCACGGAAGCAGCCAGGTCCTGGTTCTTTCCACTACATCGTTTGCTATTGATGGTGCTTCACTCCTATAGAGTATCTGTATATCATCCATCTATCTATCTATCTACCTATCTACCTATATACTTCTGTCCACCTATCTGTCTATCTATCAATCAGTTGGCCATGTATCTCCCAAGTTTCTCGTTTGTTGACCAAGCAAGTACGAGTGCAGAATTCGTAGATATGCTGATCTGATTTTGACAGCACAAGGTGCGCAAGTGAAATCTCCAATATATGTCCACTGGCCCTTGTTGGGGTATATGTATATATATATATATATATATATGTACACATACCTTTGGCACAAGTGAAAACTGCACATGGACACTGGTTTTGGGCTGTGATGCATGTCTGTGCATGTGGACAGAGAGAGGACCAGCAAGAGCTGCTGGTGCGGTCGTACGACCACGTTGCTACAGTGGCTATGATTGCTCAGGATTCAGGTCTAGGGTTCGGGGCAGGGGCCACTACCCCAGACCCCGGAGCCCAATCCCTACGACCCAGGATCTATGTAACAGAGCAGCGTGTATTGACGGTTTTGTTAGGAATCGTGCTGCACAGTCCCACATGATTTGCTGAATCTCAATCGGCAAAGCTTGCTTTTCTGCCAGTGAGCTGAGTGAGCTGTGCTTGAGCTGGCCGAGGTGATGTACTGGATTGTGTGGGATCTAGCCGATGCCATGAAGCACCTGGATATTGCAGCTCCAATCCAGTCTAGAATGTATCAGGAGCTGTCCAATGGCATGCTCGGCTTCTGCAACTGCCAAAAAGTTGCGGATGTTCCGTTTCCCATGCCTTATGCACAGCTGCTTGGTTGGCTGCTGATCGGCTTCTCGTGCTTCATCCCGGTGTATGTCACGATCTTCACTGGCTCTTATGTTGTTGGGCCCATTTTGTGCTTTATCCTCTTCATAAGTCTTTGGAGTTTGAACGAAGTTGCCATGGAGCTGGAAAACCCTTTCGGGCAGGATGCGAATGACATTCCACTCTTGGATTTCCACCTCCGCTTCACCGATGTGCTGGCAGAAATTTGCCATGCCAACCATCACGCCATGCTGTGCCAACCCCTCATGGGGGTGGAGCTTAGTGCTGCAGAGGTCTGTCGCGCTTGGGTCTGAAGTTGTCGGTGCCCCCGGAACCACAGCCGAGCAGGCGTGGCGGTGCGATGCGGCATCAGTGAAGTGGGCGTAGTGTCCAGAATCGAGCTGTGTCTGGTTGCTTGCGCAGGGCTCGAGCTACGTGTTCATCGGCAGACGGGTAGCGAAGAAGAAGCGACAGAGCAACACTTCCCTCTCAACATGTAAACCCCGCAATGTCGAACACCACGCTAAACCCGAAACCTGAAAACTAATGCTAGGCAGGAGAGTAGCTTTTCAACACTGCGATGTGATACAGATTCGTCTCACGGCAGTTGCATCAAGCAAGGTCGGTCGCCTTGGCCAATGTGCAAGGAAAAAGGTCTGCTCGCGAAGCTTGTTTGGACTGTTCTGCTGGAACAGCACAAGTTTTTCCCAAACTCCGTAGCAACCAATACCAAGAGCAGCAACTCCTTGGAGTGATCCAAAGACCTGCGGTACCCTGGACCTGTCTGAATTGGATGACTGATGAATGGCGTCCAACGTCCTCGAACACCATGACAGCGGTTTAGGACCCCGGAACGTTTCGAAGTTTGTGGTTGCGGACTGGTGCGGCACATTCATAGAGGCTCATAGAGTCATAGAGGCGTTCTTTTCGAAAGCCTGTCTCTGCGTCCCATCTCTGTTCTGCTTTTTCTGGACATCTTTAGTCGAACTTTGCAGGCTTATCACTTACACGTATCAGTTCACGCAGTCGAAGTCATCTTCAACCCCTCTTTCAGACACTGTCAGAGATTGCCTGCTTGTTTCGGCTGAACTGAGAGGGGGTGCCTGAAAATGAAGGGTCTATAATCTTTGCGATCTGAGGGTCGGGCCTTGAACGATACTGTACGATGCAAAACTGGCGAAGCTGTAGCCCCGAAGCCGTCAAGCGCTCAACGTGGAGAATTTCAAACTTCCTGACCCAAACCTAGATGTACGCGATGATGGAACGCTTAAGACTACACTTCCCTTGCAGCCTTGCCTGCCCTGTGCGAGTGTGAGCGTCGAAAACCCGAACATCCAAAATGCTCCCATTGAGTGGCCCACAGCCCTGTTGAATTTGCTCCTTACCTACAAGAGAGCGGGACTGAGGGCATCGGACGACGACATCCCCAGCCAGGACATCACTCCCTAAGGCACCGAGCTCAGGCTATGGGGTTTGACAGGGGTGTTTAGAAGGTCAGGGATTGCTATGTGGGCTTCATTTCTGTGCATACAGTATTTGGGGAAGGAGAGCAGGTTGAGACATCAAAGCCAGGAGCAATGGTACTAACAGTGATGCACAAGACCCAGGCCCAGGCCAACACACCACACCTGTTCCCCTTTTGCGTTGTCGTTCCTGCGAAGATGCCTATTCTGCCGCTGATAGTGCTGATGCAGACGATGAGCTTCGCAGGTCCGGCCCGGCATGCGGCGAACACGCCAAAGATTTCGCGCCTTGTTCTCGGCCGCGTGCATTGATCTCCATTACACAGCAAGTACAGAGGGGCAGGATCGGGTGCTCCTGGGCGAGTGCGGGTTGCCATCCTACAAACCCTAAAACCCTCAATGCAGTCGTCGAGCAAGGCACACCATATCTAATCTCCACGAACAGTCCCCAAGCCAAAGTTATGAGGGACTGGCTCTCGCCGGTGCTTTTGTGCATTCCGATCGGCCAGTTTCCGGCCAGGTCCTCCGCTTTAAAAGGACCCCTTTCGTGGGCTGCCGAACGCATGCGCCTCTTTAGGACTCGTCTTTCTCAAGAGTGCATGCTATGGATGCATGCAGCATGCATACACACGCACACACACATATGTATATATATGTATATATATATATACACATGCATATGCATATACATATACATACTATATTAGAATATATGTTATATATTATGTTACATTATATTGGATTATGTCTCACTGGCAGCTCCGGCAGAACGAAATGAGCGCAACATGCATCAGTAACTCTCGGCAGTCTAGATGTCCGCAGGATACCCGTGTATGTATGCATGTCGGCAAATAGCAGTCTAACTGACCCAAGCTTCCCAAAACCGAATTATTTAGCTGTATCCAGATGCCCGTCTGCAAGCAGAGCCGTTTTAACCGGTTTCTTTCAGGAAACCTTTGCATTCGCGATCCACAGAAGCTTTCACGATCTTTCACGCGTAGAACATCATGAACCCGGTGCCGACATCGGTGGACGACGTCGGCATAACCGGGTTGTAACCGTAGTGAGGCGCGGGCGGCCGCGATGTCGTTTCATTGAGAAGATGACCAGGCTTCAGCTAATTCTGACAATACTGCTGGACAACTTTCAAAGGGCATAGGACCTTAGGACACCAAACAGTATTGATGGTATTGCTTCTTTTCAGCATTTCTGCAACGAGCCACCAGTCACCTAAATCTAAGTCGGCGTGCTGAATGCCTGCACCACCCTCTCAATTGTAGCTCGAATGTTTGCTTACCGGAAGGTCAGGAAAGAGGAGGCCAGTCGTACCGCACCCCGACCCAAACCCTGAATCCTGAGCCCTGTCACCCAGTGCAGGGAGGTTTTGATTTGTCTTGCTGGGCGGGGGGACTGTGGCGCCACTCGCCTCTGACCATTGCGCCGGTGATGACAGCTCATCAGGCGTGGACAGCGCCCTCAAACGTCGGCTTTGCTTTGCGACGGACGGTCGCGGGCTGTGCTTTTTGGAGTTTGGTTTTTTGTTGAAATCTCCGCTGTAAGTCGCTTGTTAGTATTGGTTGTGCATTGGCCGCACACTCCGACTGCTACCGCTAATCCAGCGGCAGGAGTATTGCAATGTTACTGTTTCTGATGCGATACCACTGGTTCTCATCGTCTTATCTTCATGATCTCTTGTCCATTCTGTCGATGACGGCCCGACCCCGTCCGGCCGAAGGAGCCCTGAATTCAGTATCGCGTGCGTTGCGAAGCTGGGAATCCCTTGCACGTTGTTTCGGATCGGCAGAAGCGTAAGCAAGGCGTCCTGCCCTGACAGCAGTTCAGAATCCTAGCACTCGCGAAGCTTCGGCCTTTCCAGCATCTCCTGTAGGAGCGCGGGCGGCCACGCCTACATATCATCAGATCAAGCATCGGAGGCTCCGGCACCGTCACGGTCCAGACGGCAGCAACGTTTCATTCCTTACTCACCATCTGCAATGGTTGGCGAGTTGCTACCGGACGTCCCCCAAGGGTGTCGAATGCTACGGCTGCTACGGCTCAGAAGAAGAACAAAATAAACACTGTTTTGTTCTGTGAGTCCTGATTGCAACTAGTGCACACAGCTTCCTCAGCTCAGGCCCGAAGCCCCAAGCCTTTATGAAATAGACAGACTGAACCACCTGACTTCGACACCCCGCTGGGACAGACTGCGATGGTTTCCGGACAGCCACCCATCCTCGAGGTTGTGCGATTCGCCGGCTGGAATGAGGTCCAACGTTTAGGGTTGAAGTTAGTTTTTGAAGGCTCTTGACTCTCATGAACCATCTTGTTACATGTGACTTTCCCCGGCCGACTTCCCAAGCCCGGATGCAAAAATGGTTGAAGCAGCGTAGGGTGTCAAGGAGGGCAGTCGTTCGACTTAAGATATCGTAAGGAAGCAGGTCGACTCCGGCCCGAACCCTGGCCCTTCGTAGCCTTCGTTGATGGACGATTTGTGCTACATGGGAATTGTCCGCATTCAAGTGAAGAAGCACGGGAACAGCAATCCAATGCCAAAGTAGGGCACACGAGGTTCGAACACAGGTACAAACAAACCAACACGGACAACAACACAAGCACACACACAAAAACAACCACAACAACGTACGAACAGACAGGCAAACAAACACACACAAGCACGCGAACGAGCGTGCAAGCACACGAACGAGCATGCAAGCACACATTACACACACGCACACATACAGCACAGAAGTACATACATTCATACATAAATACCCAAATACCCACATAAATGCATGCATCCACACATGGGACCATACATACTTGCAGACATGCCTGCCTAAATGAGTGCATAGGTGTGCCCGCAGCTCTAAATACAGCTGCATGCATACAGCGAGGTCGGCAGATAGGCAAGCAGACAAGCACATGCTTATACATACATACGCACATTTTCGCGCATGCATCCATCCACATCCAGCCAGCCGGCCAGCCATGCATGCATGCGTGCATGCATCCATCTTACTCATCCACAGGCACACGTACATACATATATGCATGCGTACATACATACATCCACAGTCTTATGAGGTTCAAACTCCACCTTCTTTGAAGATGTTAGGAGTACAGGTTTTGTGAAGATGTTAGGAGTACAGATGGTAGCAAGGCCATGCTCATTGTGATCTCGTGCTGGTTGTTTGTAGACTTCTGTCGGTACCTCATAGGCCAGCCAGCCACTTCAACTCGGCCTCCTTGTATCGTCAGGACTGCTCGCCTTCTCAAGGCCAAAGTAGCAGTACTGGCAGCAGAAGGGGCGAAAGTCAGCAGCCAGGTCGAGTTCAGATTTTTGTTAAGTTTCCGTGCAATGTTTCCACTGCGAAGCGAACCCTGGCCTTCGACCAGCCCAGATGTGGAGGACAGTATGTCTGCGGAACTGACAGGAAGCTGAACCCGAAGATCGCGCGCACTTTCCGACGTAAAGGGTTTAGGGCTTTGGTGTGTAGGGTTTATGGAATGGCACGGCAGACTTGAAGGTTTGCTTTAGTCGCTCATTTACTTCCCAGCAGAGGCGTTGCAGGCTGGATGCAAAAAGGGTTTATGGAACCTTGGAATGGCTTGAGCTTAGAATCTTGGGTTGATGCTGCCATTCGAAGCCGCACGCTTTAAGGATTGACGAATTGGCTTTCTTGTCTTCGGGCTTGGCCCACAGCCAGTGCCGCTGACTCCTCTACTTTGATTTTTATGCTTTTGTCAATGTGATAAGCCGTTGCTTTGCCAAGGCCTCACAGTTTCGCGACTTTCAATGAATGCACCAGCAAGAACTGTGCCAAAAGAGCCGTGGCTTCCAGCGGGCCACTTCCTTCCTCCGGCCCACTGGATCGTTGATGCGGACATATATCTTGCCTGGGTTGTTTGGAGTTTAGGGTGTCGGTCCCATCCGACCCTGGCACTCCAACTGATCTGGCGGCTTTTTGCTCAGGTCAGACTTGGGCTAGAAGAGAGTTTAGGGTTTAGGGTTAGGCCATCCCGATGCTGGGTCTTAAACGGCAGCCAAAAACTCCAGGTTTGCATGAAAAGGTCTCGTCGTTGATCATTGAGATCACAGCCCGGTCATGACCCGAGCGATGCAGAACGCTTAAAGCCCGAAAAGCTGCCGCCATGGCAGCCCCAAAAGCTGCCGCCATGGCTACGACAATTCTACCACTACCAGTTCTACAACGACCACCATACTACGGTTGTTGCCATCACTACCAGTACTACCCTTTCTGCCTTTGCCACCATTACCACCACCATCACCACGCCCGCCTCGCTACTGCTGCTACTGTTCCTGGTGCTATTGCCGACGACAATACAAACACTGCTGCAACTGCCACAGCAAAATTGCTGTTTGAACATTCGTTGGGCCGCTTGTCGGCCTTGACTGCAATGGTCGCATCCGTGCTTACCATTCTCGCGCCATGACGGGACGAGGCGGGCTGCAGCCCTCAACCTCCAAACACGAGAGCCCTGTGAGGATTTCAGGGCCATATCACTTGGGCCCCTGGTTTGGGCAGAACCAAGGAGCTCATCCTGCATCATCCTCCGCTCCTTTATATGGTTTCTTGGTATGTTGGGGAATCCGCGGGCCCTTAAACCGCCCACATCGCGCGTTTTTGCCAGAGTGGTGTTCGTGGGCAGGTTAAGAGAGAGAGAGGACTCTTATGCTTGTTCACAGAAGGAAAGACAACTTCTGGATTCAGGGATTCGGCACAAGTGAGTCCATTGAGTCAGTGGCGAGCTTCGGATGAAGCGATACAGGTGCCGGGTTCGAACGAGGCGGATGCACAAACCACGACCACAGCCCGTTGAGCGAAAAAGTCCCGAGACTCACTCCAAGCTCGTCCGCCTCAGAACGCCCTGGCCGCGCCCTTCGAGAAGCTTTGGCTGGAGGCCCCGGCCCTTGCGGGCCGCTGGCCGAGGAGGTGCCACTGCGAAACTCTGACGGATCGGCCGAAGCAGCAGAAGTCTCTTGCACATCCGCCCCGCATCGAGGATCGTCCCTACAACCCCAAGACAGCCGCATCAGAGGATCTCCGGCACCTGCAGCGCCGCGCCTCTCCTGGATGCGTCGCTGCCGCAAAGAGCTTCTACTGCGCCGCGTGGCCGGTGATGTTGGCCCGAGAAATTTGCAGTTCCTGTACAGTAGTCATTCATGCCGAAATCTGCACATTTCTCTGGGTCTACGCCTGTGTTTGTGAGTCTACGTCCATGTCCATACCAACAGCATGCCTATCTATGCATTTGTCACATCTGTCCGTCTACCTGTCTGTCTGTATCTCTCCTTGCCTGTCCGCTTATCTACCTATCTAGCTAGCCAGCTTTCCATCTATCTACGTGTGCATGTGATCGTTTTGTACATCGTTTTTGTTTTTGGTTGCGCCGTTTAAGGAGTAGTACTGCCAGTACTCGGAGTTAGGTTCGGAGTCAACCCGAACGAATCCTCAACCCTACACCCAAAATCCTGACTCAACCGTAAGGCCTAAAGCCGTAGTCGGAGTCGTCGCAGCAGTAGAAGGTCCTTGCTTCAGGGTATGCGGGACTGGAAGACTGGAGGCGATGGCTATTTTGGCAGGACGCTGCCTGGTTCACTTTGAAGGCTGAAGGACTCTGCGGCTTATGGTTCTGATGGTATGATGCCGTTATATGTAGAGTTTGCATTAATACAGAATGCGACTACTCGAAGTAGAGGTTCATGTGGAGCTACAGGTAGTGCTATGTGCTCCACAATGCGGCCATAGACGAAAGGTAGCTCTAGAATATGAAGGATCGGACAAATGACTGAATCCCTAGACTCTTACCCGTGCTTGCAACGTACCCAGAAGTGTCTTGTAACACAGAGCGATTGGCGATCATGACGATTTCCATTTCAGCTTTGCTCTTGCGCGCGTTGGTCACAGCACGTCGGCATTGGCTTCATGATGCTTTCACGGGCCCGATGCACCGATTTCTGCGGTGTTGTGAAGACACGCAGCTGAAGCTACCTGATGAATGAGCCGCACATACATACGCAGATGTAGACAAACATGCATATGCCCTTTGGCGGTCATGACCCAGCCAGTAAAGGGTACATCGAGTCTGCTTTGGATTTCTGGTGGTTTCACAGCGAGTTTCTGAAGCCGTGTGTAAAAGTTTAAAGATGCGGGTGCGCGTGCTTCATTACAGGCTTGCAGGTCCGAGCAAAGCACCCTACTCTGCACACCCAAAACGCCAGCGTGTCCCCTGAGCCAAGGACCGAGTGGATCGTGCAAGGGCTGTGGCCGGAAGGACACCGCATCAGCATCACATGAGAGCGAAGATCCAAGGCGAGAGGTTTGAACGGCACCTTTCCAGCTCAGACGCGTTGGCCCCGGCAGGGCATGTCCGAGAGAGCCACGGAGTCACGGAGCGGCCCAGGCAGCCTCTACTCGTAGCATCTCGTACCTCAAAGCCCAAGGTCCGTCCCGACCAATTCAGCCCGCAGCGAAAAGCAGGAAGAAGCTTTCGAAGCCAAAGCACCAAAGCACCTCCCAAATCCCTCCCTCAATGCGGCGGCGCATGGCCCGGGCGCGGGCGCTCCAAAGCGGCCCAAATGAGCTCCGGGGCCGAGCTCCGTCGGAAGGCCGGGCCGGGCCGGGCCTCTTGGGGCCCATGGGGGTCCGAAGGTGAGAGTAAAGCCTTCGGGCTTTGGGTCCGGGGGGTGGGCTCGGGGCCCGGAGTTTAAAGAGGGAGACAAGAGCGCCCTCTTCGTGCTTCCGCCAGCTTGGGCCTGCCGTTCAGGCCAGGTCTCAGGAGAATCGAAGAGGTTTGGGCTTGGGGTGGCCGTGGCCTGCGTGCACAGGTGGATCCCGCCGCCGCGAGAGAGCATTTCCAAGAACAGCCGAAAACCACCAAGAGACCCTGAGAATCCCGAACCGTATATGCGATCTTCACAAGCCTCGCCCGGTCCAAGGAATGCCCAAAACAAAAAGCCACTAGAATTTGAAGACCCCCAGACCCTGGACTTGTCCGAGTAAGGAGACGACCCTGAAGCCCAAACGCAACCGATTTCGAAGGCCCTGGCTCTGAGGAGCCAGAGGTCGGAGCTCCGGAGGCCCCGGGTCGGCGGCAGAGGGTTCTGCTTTTGTCGGGTTCCTAGGCAGAGGGTCCTTTGGTTGTATTTGGCGTTCAGCTAAAATGTCGATTCTGGCAGGGGTTAGCACAATGGCAAATTTCCCCGAAGGGGGTGTGTAAGGCAGTCGGGAAGGCAGAATGCTACGGTGTCTACTCCGCTCTCAACCATTTGAGGGATCATTCAAGCTCCCAGGCCTCGTTAGCGTTCGTCTGACTTGTCGAGTGCGAGTGGCAAAAAGCGTTCTCGGGCAGGTGTTTTTTTGGAATTCCGGGCATCTTTGTTGGGGCTCTCTTGCGCCAAGGATCCTAGCATTTGGGTTTGTATGTATGAGGGTCCTTAAGCTCCCATGCAGAGGCTTGCCTCTGTGATAAACCTGATCTTCGAGTTTAAAACCCTTACACTCCTAAACTCGCAATCGAGATATCCATGTGTGAGGTGTCTGGCAAATCTTCTGGCATCCTCGGAAGACAGTGCAGCCCTGCTGCATCAGTGCACTTTGTTCTTCGGTTTTGAGCGGGGGCCTCCGGTTTGGGATCTGGTATTTCCGAATGCATCGCACACCGTAGCGCTCACACCGAAAACCTTACCTGCCTCCACCTCTTATATACAGTACTGTAGCGTTCGTCCGCTCTAGAGAGACGGGAAAGAATGGGAACAGTTGCCCGTTCGAGTGGCTTCGCATAGTGGGCCTTTCTATGGGGAAGCATCTCATGCAGCTCGGGATGATCTGTTGTTTGTTTACTTTCTTTGCTTACAGGTGTCGCTTGAGAGCGGCAGTACATCTGAGGCGCAGCACTTTGAACACTGGCAGAGCTCTCGAGCGCCAGAGGAGGCCCTTGGAAGACCCTCCTCGGAGTCCTGCCTTTCGGGAGCGCCGGAGACCAGAGACTTGAGCACCCACAGAAATAATTCGAGTGGGTTCCTTTTTCAGGGTCTATAGGGGCTGCTAAGAAAAGGGCACTGTTATGTCACCTTCTTTCTGAGAGGCCCCGCGACTTCGAAAGCGCCAGAAGAGGCTCCAAGAGGTGCCCACGGGAGGGGAAAGCTGTTGCTTTCTGCTCTTTTTGGGGCGCCTAGAGCCGGGCTTTCTGAGACCGAAGCCGAAGCCGACTTCCCTCGTTCACACGTCGGACTTCAGTCATCGGAGCTCCGCAAATGTCAGGTTCCGGAATCTGGAGGAAGGTGAACAGTGCTCGCAAAACGAGGTGTCTTGAAGGCGAAGGCCAAACCCTCATCAGGTAGTATCATGAAACTCTCAGACAGTACAGTCTCACTCAGCTGACCTTGAGCCATATGCCTCGCCTGAATTGTCCGAGTGTGTGCGCCGAAACCCCAAAGCCGCGAAACCTGAAACCTGAAGGGTTGGGTCCGTGCTTTGCAAAGTTTTCCCAAGACCTTAAGCCTTAACCACTGAACTCCCCGGAAACCCCAGAAGAGGCCCGAAGCTTCCTGCCAAATAGCCAAAAGCTCGGAATCCCCAGAAGAGGCGAGCTCTTTTACCCTCGTCCCTCGCTTTCGCCTGGCCGCCGTGTCTGAGGCGAGGATGTGTCAAAACAGTTGGGTACGGTACCTCACTTAAGGGTCCTCGAATTGGGATAGTCCAAGAGTCGAGGATATGGCTGGAGTGGGCTGTAACTTGGTTTGATTTTTCGTTTTCGATTTAGGCCTGCGGCCACGAGTGGACATTTGATGAAGATGTCTGCAGGAGTTCCAGGACGGAGAGTCGACACAGCCACTCGACCGACTGAGGGGACTTTGGGCTTAGGGCTTCATAAAGGTTTGCCGTGGGGTTTAGGCGATTAGGCTAGAGGTTTGCTGATAAGCTGAGGAGTGCATCACAGTCATTCTTTCCAGATTCGAGGTCAACAGCTGCTTCGCGAGCAGTGCCGTTAACAGAGATCTGTTCATCGCCTGGGGGTCTTCAGAAGTGTATGCCCCAAAGAGGGCCGGCGCCGTGAATGTAAGTGCTCGGTCCACAGTTGTCATTGGCAGAGAGGTTAGGGTTTTGACACAGAGGTGTTGAGGCTTTTTGGAGGTCCTGTGGAGGGTAAGGGTAAGACGCATTGGCCGGGGAATTGGCACTAGTATTGTGGTCCTGTGGCGGTCCTGTACGTTAGAGGGCTTCGGGGCGCGTGATTCCCTGGCAAGCGCACTCAGGATCCTGGCTGTGGCAGCTGCGACGCAGGTCAGCAGGGGTGCCAACGCATTTTTCAAAGCAGCCTCTTGCCGGGTATGCAACAACTACGTGGCATGTATGCTCCCGAGTCCCGTCCCGAGTACGTCTGTTGGCAGTTTGCGGTCGGAATGCCGCGGGCAAGAAGTGTACCGGGATCGCGCTGAACTAGCGACACTGGCGTTTAATCGAAAAACCTTGCCGTTCTTATGATGCATTCGTGATCTCGATGGGGCCGATGGGGGCTTTGTTTCCGATTGCATGGCCCAGAGTGAAAGGCAGCTCGAGATCCACGTCCGGTTACTACCCCCTGCCACTGCGCGATATTGTTCGATACACTCCGCAAGGTGTAAGACACCAGCTCCACTCACTGCAAAAACTTCCATTGCATGACCACCGTGATCATCCTCGAAAGAGCAAGCCTGCCGTAATGGCCACGGAACTCATCGCCGGCATCATCACCATCTGGAACAGCATTGAACACGACGCAAGGCCCCCTTCGTAGCCTTGGAAGAATAGAATAAGGGCCTAAGGGCCATGGGTCGGAGCCTTTGTTGTGACGGTTGCGACAGAAACTAATCGTGGCGGTCTTCTGTGAGCTCAGAGTTGGCAGGTGGAAAGGGGCGCTTAAACCTCACCTAAGCATGCCTAAGCCCTTTCCCCAAATTTCTACAGGCCCTAACACAAATTCCCTAAAACTTGGGAAGGACCAGGTGGGCACGCCGGGCGTCGCCGTCCTCACGCGCCGATCTCTCGAGCTCTGGCAGGAAGTGCCTCGGCTGTTGATCGGTTGTCGGCCAGGTCTTACAGCATCGGTTCGGCGATCTGGTTTGGTTGGTTGACCCTATATCATGTAAGGCTTGGACTGCGAGGTAGGGCTTCGCAAGAGACCTGGGTGCAACAGAGGTGTTTTTGTAGAAGGATTTATCAATGAGGGGTCTTTGCTTTCACTCGACTCGAGCGCCGAAGTCCCTTGAGGCTCCAATCGGAGGTTCTGGGTTCTGGGGTTAGGGTTTTGCAAAGTTTATATAGGCCATGTCTGGTCCAAAAATGCCTTCCAACCAGCCCCAAACTTTGCCGCGACAAAACCCTGCAAGCAAGCATCCCCGACCAGCATACCATCATGTACGATCACCTGCGAAACGTACACCATAGCCAGGACAGCAATTATGTTTTGAAGGGACCCTTGAACAGATGTTGTATGAGACGCCCACCGAAACTCTACTCTAGTTTGGTTTGCAGCCCAAAAGAATGCACTGGTTTAGCGAGGATCCGGTCTGCTGGCATCAGACTGAGGCGTTGAAGGCGCAGTGCTGTTGGAAGGGGTTGGTTTTTCGTTTCTTGCCATCCTCAGTCTGTGAGAGGATGCATTGGTGCTTTATGTCACCCTTTCTATAGCTGCATTCATAGGGCCGCGGCTTGAGGCGTTCTTTGTCTCAGGTTCCATGTCAGCTCTCCGAGCTCGCACTTGCAATTAGCTCAAGTCTAGGCTGCGACACAAGCATGTGCATGTGTGCATGTGTGCGTGAGGGTGGGTGGGTGGGTTGGGTGGGTTGGGTTGGTTGGGTGGGTGGGTGGGTGGGTGGGTTGGGTGGGTGGGTGGGTGGGTTGGGTGGGTTGGGTGGGTGGGTGGGTTGAGTGGGTGGGTGGGTTGGTGTGTGTGTGTGTGTGTGTGTGTTGAGGCTCGCTTGCTAGATATGCTGCGGTCGGGCTTTGGCTCTAGCTTCTAGCGCAGAGCACTTCGTTGAAATGTGGCTGTACAGAAGGCACAACAGGTCTCATGGCGATCCCACAAGTTTCATACGATTATGCCGGCACCTACGCTCCCAACTCTAAGCCTTCGGAGGGTCCCGTTGTCGACTCTAGGCTTCTCCCGCCTTGCTGCCCACCTCCCCCTGCAAAGTCTTAGCTTGCTGGTAGTACACCCGACGCTAAACGCCTATCCCCGTTTGATCCCAGAAGGGCTGTGCTAGCTTTCCGCCCGAATTCTGTCGGATTTCGGCAACTACGGACATACGTGCGGTTCCCGAGTGTGCACAGCCACCGCTTCATGCTCAGCAGGGGTAGAAGTTCTGCCATTATGCAGCAAAGATGCAAGGCTTCGGGCTTGGACACTGGTCCTCATGATCTCTGCTTGAGGCTTTCAGTATCCGTCGGTACATGTCCTTGAGGTGTTCCGACAACGCCTTTAACGATCCTTGAGGGACGGCTTCATTTGCATTGTTGTGCGGCGCCGCCAAGTTCTGTTCACAGAGATCCTGGAATGTGAAAACGCAATTGCTCCAGCACTGGAGAAGTTTTAGTTGCGGGATTGTTCTGTGTCCGCTCTCTGGCACGAGCCGATTGAGCTTACGAGCACGGCCACTGTCTCAAAGTCAAGTTTGTGTTAGGCTGAGAAAGTATTACTCTGCATCGTCGGATGGCGCCCCTTCTACTTATAAAAGCGATTCACGGAACATGCTTGCGGTTGTGCTGGGGCGCGGAGAACACGACGGGGAATCGGTGTGGATGCAAAAGGTTGTATATGTGTATGTAGTAGAGTAGCTATAATAAGATAGTCGTGTGTGACTGGGTCGTGAGACAGTAGATAGGTTTTGCACAAGTTGTTGTTATTGAGCATGTTCCATCCTTGGTATCATGCAAACCAAAGACCTCAGCTGATGAAGTGATTGATGAGATGAAAGCTATGAAAACATCGCATCGAGCACAGAGCCTCTCCGCCCCCGTGTGCAAGGTGGCTAAATTGACTGAGTGAGGCTTGGACTAAACTGCGGCAATTGGTTTCTTGATCTGTTGCACATGATGGGATAGTCCTTGTCGAGCTGGTAGCTAGCCTGCTCACCCACAGGCTTTCGACAGGCTCTACCACCGCGTGGATTCGACCAGTTTTCATGTTGAAGTCCGTTTGGGTGTTGACCTGTGTGGGAGTTGAGGAAGTGTTGATTGATCCGGACAGTGAGCATATGCCTGGCTGCCATGACTGCCATGCGGACGTGATGCGTGCTGAAGCAAGGTAACCTCACCTTGGTGTGAGATCGGAATCCGAATCCCGATTGCGCAGGTCCCAGTGCCAGCGGATGCCATCGCGAGTATGGCTTTCGACAGGCTTACCATCGGGAACAAGAGCCGAGGGGGTTGGGGGGGCATCTGTCTCTAATGTAGGAATTCCGAATCCGGTTTGTCCCTGTTACTTTTGTCGCCACATTCAGAGCCCGCAGCCCGACGGAGATCCTCATAGATCGGTCCATTCGAGGACAGGCCGGCAGCTCTGGCTCGTGATCTCTCCCCGAGAAGGCCTGGGACATTGGGAGCGTGCGGCGTTTCAGGTCCCTGAGCCTTGCGTCAGGCTCACGGGTGTTGATGATTTAGCGAGCGCCATCGAGCAGAGGGATTCAGCCGATCTCAAAGACGTTCATGTGTATTTGGAGCATTGACCATGTCAGCAAGTTCGACGCAGTGACGCAGGATCTATACTCATCACTGCTGGAGCCACAAGGGATGAACGCCGTGTTGTTTGTTGACGCCTTTGACAGCTTAGGCATTTAAGCGGCCGTGTCCCTAATCTTGAGGATATCTTTTTTGTTTGCCGTTCTTAGTTGTAGCCCTCTGGTTGGTTTGCATCTAGTCGCCCAGGACGTCGTTGGCTGAAGTATCTTAGAACACATCTTTGACTTGTTATGGGTCGGTCTTTGCAAATATCCTCGATCCTTGCTAGCCGTGCTAGGTGGGCGAGGCAGCGCGCCCTCCTGTGCTCTCGAGACAAGGCTCTTCCACTGTACGGCCGGAGGCCCGCGGCTTGGATTTCTGTATATATGTTTGTAGATATGTATGTATTTATACCTAATATGTGTATATGTATATGTATATGTATATATATGTATATGTATATGTATATGTACATAAACGCAATTCCATGTGTATGTAATTGTATAGCGAGTTCTTTACTGATGTTTGTTTGCTTTAGCATTCGCGTGTGACATCTCTGGACTGCCAGGAGGCACCCATACCAAGAGAGTCTAGGAGGAGGCGCATTAAAGTCCTCAAGCCCAAACCCCCCCATCGCACCTTAAGTCCCAAATTTTGGGACTGCGCAGAGGCCCTCAAACCAAAGGTGTACAGGTGGCTTGGGATAGCTTTTTTTCTTCCCGTGTCTTCGACCCCTGTGCACGCTCGCTTGTCTTATGCAATAACTGTGGGCTTGGAGGCTGGGCTTACATGTTTTGCCGGTACATGTGCCTTACACGTCGTCGGTCTTCGAGCTTGTCTGCTTCGCCTGTTCTCGCCGGTTTTCAGTTTCTGCTTCCTCAGCAGCGGTGGGCTTTCCAGTCCTTCCCTGCAACACTGCCAACCCTTGCAAGGCAGCGCCCGCTCAATCCGGTTGCCTTCGGATTTCGGCTCCTCGCTTCATGTGTCCGGAGTTCCTGAAAGTGGCACATTCGGTTCTTGGAAGGCACGATGTCTGCATGGCCTCTGTTTGTTTCAGTGCAGTCCTCTCCTCGCAGAAACGAGCGAGCACGCTGAGCTGCATGAGAGCGTGCGCATTGCCCAGCGGCATTGACTTCACAGCAGCACAAGGCTGCTGACCCTCGATGCCGGCACCACTCTTTTCCCCCTAACACGTCTTCTCGCGCAAGGGCCCGCAAGCGAACGTGTCGGACGACTTTCGCAAGCAGTTGCGAGCCCTTCCGATGTGTTAAAAGCACCTGCTTGAAAGTCGCTGGCTGGTCCAGCGTATCATGACCCAAGTGATCCCAATTGACCGAAGCCCCGAACGCTCCGCAGTTTTGTGCGGTGTAGATACACCGTAGATCAGGCGAGATGCAGCCAGCCTCAAAAAGCTACCGCAGGCAACCTACGCCTGAAAGCGCGCCTTCGAGGCTTTCTCGAGGGACGTTGCCTTGTGTTTTCCGCGGTTTGGCATCCTGGGATTGTGTGTTGTTTACACCTGCGACGATCTCATGCTAATGTGAAGCCGGGCCGATCAATTTGCAAGTTTGACGTGTTGGGTTTGTATGCTCGGCGTGGGCTTCCGGGGTCTTCGGCCCAGTCCTACGTTCAGCTCTCAGCTTCGACCCTCGTCTCGGGATAGACGGCCGCAACCCGAATATGTTTTCTTTCTCTGTCGTGACAACCCTGGGAGCCAGCGAAACATCCCGAACACTGCAGAAAAGCAGGCTCTTGAAGAATCGTACGGAGAGAAGTGGCTCAGCACGAAGTTGCATCCTCAACTAGGCTTCGAGGAACCACGCGAAAGGTTCGTCCTGTTATCGGCTGGGAGCCCGCAGTCTTCATTGTGTGACCTGATCGTATCCTCGGAATCTTCAGCCCCATTTGGCCAGGGCCCTCTGCGCCACTTCTCGCAGGGCCGGCAGTGCTGCACCAGGCACGTGGATATGAAATGATATGAGCATCTTCCGTGAGGGTTTTGCTAGAGATGTCCTGGAGCTCAGAAGGATCTCAGGGCTTGTAAAAACGTGCAATTGGACATGTGGATGCTCTGTTTGGTGTTACAGCCCTTGGAAGCATCCTTGGTGATACGGTCGTGGGGCCCGTCCAACGTACAAGTGATCAAGTCTGCGAGTCTATGTACAACCACATGCATCAAAAGCTCGTTTGTACCTTTTGGTCGTGGGGGCGTCCAAAGTGCATCTGAGTGGACATTCTGGACGCACTGCTTGGTGCTGCAGTCGTCGGGGGGTCCGACGTGCATGTGAGGTTGTCACTCAGCACATGCTTCAAAAGCGAGTCTGGGCATTTTGGACGCACTGCTTCGCGCCATTTTCGCGTCTAATGCGCATGCGAGCCAGTCCACAGTCATCACATGCATCAAAATCAAAGGCTAACGTGCAATGTGATTTTGAGGGAGCCCACGCTCACCGGCCACATGCATCGAAGGCTGGTTTGGACATTTTGGACGCACTACTCAGTGTTACAGTCGTGGGGCCATGCACTGTGCATGTGAGCTTGTCACCCAGTCCACAGTCACACTGCTTGATGCTAGTGTTATACATGTGAGGTTGTCCACACTCGCCACAAGCATAAACGCTCGTTTGGACATTTTGGACGGGCTGCATTGCATGGTGTGTTCTTGGCGATGCGGTCGCGGGGCATCTAATGGGCTTGCCCACTCTCGTTTGTTATGTGCGTCAAGATGTCGTATGCAAGTGCCTAGAGGCGAGTCCTTCTGCGACAGCTGCCCTAAGCCCTCAGCCATTTAGGTCCTAAGCCTCAAACACTACCTTCTGTTTTGGCTGTCTTTCCGGGGCCTTTGGGGATGCGCTGTAGTCAACCGACCTGCCGTCTACGAACCTCGTCTGGATGCGTCCGAGTTGCGAGAGCGTAAGCTCTAAACCGTCAGGTTGCTGCGGTTGCAGCTGCCGGTGCCGTCCACGTGCTGTCGTGCTCCCGGCATGTGGGGTCCTGGTGCCAGGTCGAAGCCTTGCCTCAAATTAAAAGGTGCCCTGAAGCTACTGTTTACTGTTTTGTTGGGAGGTGACTCATTTTGAAGGGTCCACTTCTTTTCAAAGTCCATATCGGGGGCCTCCGGCGGCGGACTTCGCAGGCACAGTCCAAGCAAAGGCTTCTACTTCAAAGCGATGCTCCCCGAAAACGGCAAGCGCAAACCCCAGTCCCCGAATCCCTCGCCATCCGACAGTCAAATGACTACACAGTGGCTCGGACGCATGAACAGGGTGTAGGGCCTAGGGGCAATGCGCCAGCATCCCTTGCAGGAGTCTCCGAGTGCAGCCAAGCCCAACCACGGGGCTCTGAGGGCTCTGAGGCTGAGGTGAAAGGGGCTTCCCGGCTGTCATGCTTAGAACCCTAAAACGCCCCACGGCCCTCACAGAAGCCTACATCTACCACATCTCGCGCCAGGTGGTCGGAAGATGCAGCTGGTGGCTTGAAGAGGTTTAAGAAAAGCCTGGAGCCGCCCCAAACTTCATGGCTGAGTGCGCGCGCTTTGCCCTGTCAACTGCTCAGCTAAGTCCAGCCCGAGCCGAAACCATAAAACTGCAGGAGTGTCAGGATGGTGTTGGATTCCGGTTGAGGGGTTCAGGGGTTCGCATCTGGTCGGTTGGAGGGCAGGAGGGGGTGCTGTCGGTCGAACTGTGCGGGTGATGGGGTTGTTGGTTTTGATGCATCCCTCCCCGAACATGGCTCCGGCCGAATCCAAACACAGTCCGTCTGGATCCGGACGGTGTACGTGGAGAGTTGGGTGTGGGAGTGCTCCTACGACGAATATCGAGCCCGACTGTGCTCAAGGCTGCCGCACAAAATGCTGTCCCCACAAGAAAGACAATATGAGACGCATACAAGTCTGATGACCCAATTCACAGTCACACGGACGCGCAAACAAGTCAACTCTGCCCGCGCTTTCCAGAAATTGGCCGGTGCCGGAAGTGAGATCTCCAAAGTCCAAGCTAATGCCTATCCCGTGGAAGACCCGCACAAACTGGGACCGAAGACTTAAACCGCTGCCCGTGGCCCCTCAACTCTAGATCCTAGCAAGTAGGCCAACCTTGAAACTCCAAGCTCTCCCAGCTGCGGCTGAAGGCGGTACGCTTGGCGCCGAGTCCTTCACGCCAGCATGGTGTGGCGGCTGCCGAGACAGGCTGGCTTACGGACTTTCGGGCCACGACCTTAACCCAAAAATCTGTATAAAGCGGGATCGGTTCTGCCGTGAGGGACAGGGCATCGATGCTCATGCTTTGATCTTTCAAAGTGTACTGTAGCGGTACCACATGCTTCTTTGCAGAACACAACAGCTCTTATCCAACGCCAAGCACAGCACGGTTCTAGAACTTGATGTTCACGACTGCATTCTTAGAAGCCCTGCGAAAGCCCTGGCAGTCCCCCTACGCCCACGAGCCTGCAAGCATTGCCGGATCAGCGGCTAGCAGTGGTCCTTCGCGGCGAGTTCGGTGGAGGCGCAGTTGAGGCGTTTATGATGACGAGGGTACGGTGAAGCAGTTGCCGCAAAGCTTCTTTCATGCGGGTTACCGGCACCATGTGACAGAAGAGGTTTTATGCAGATTGCTTCTGGAGGTGTTGCTGCTGCCATGAATGTTCCTTTCCTGTGTTCTTCTGGGTCAGATGTTTACGCTAGAAATGACCCACAGGACCGGTCCTCTAGCTTTCGTCTGCCCGCACCGGTTCGTGATGGGGATGCATCGTGAGGCCTTCAGCAAATCGGACGGTTTGCAAGGAAATCGACAGCTACTGTACTGGATTTTTTTGCCATCTAGGGCTGGAGGCTCCCGCAATGGCGGCGTTTGTGCATTCTGTGCTGGGCTTTTCCGTCTTGGAGTGTTCGGGTACTTAGAGCGGTCCTAGGCTTATTGCAGATTGAACCTGTAGATTGAGCACGAATATGGATAGAATGCTTGAAGCTGGCTCGGCGCCCACGTGGAATTCGACATAGGAGCAGAAACAACTCTCGCAACTTGGGAGCTTTCCGCTTTCAGACTCGAGCGGAATTCATGGGCCAAGCCTTCAGGTGAGCTCCAGCTTTACAGTGACGCGGGCGACTGCTTGGCCTTTGCCGACCTCGGCTCTTTTGGCTGCGTAGTGCCGCCCCAGGACCGGCATGGAACACACCAAGAATTTCAGTTTCGGTTCGGCCAGGGTTCAAGGGTCACGCAGCGTTGGGGTTCGTGTGCAGAAAGAGTTCACCGAGATGCAGAGAAGCATTTTTGACTGCCACATGGGATGTAGTGCTGTGTTTTCCGATGCGACAGGTGAGACGGAGCTGCACTGCCCTAACTTTAGAACCCCCAAGTTTAGAAGCCCCAAGCCTTCGAAACCCCTACTGTAGTCCAGAAAGAGGATCCCTGCCCGGAGCCCGACCTGGCGGTGCTTCTGCTGCTCACAAGTCCCGCCGGATGGCTACTGTCACACGACTTACAGTTCTGGAGAGGGTTTCAGGGCCTCGAGGGTTTAGGGTTTAAGTGTCTCTTGTTGTTTAACGGTTGTTTCAGCATTTGGGGCTTTCGGCCAAAGAGTGTCTGGCAAAGGACGGCATGACGGCCCCGAGCACCAAACGTAAATGTGGCACAGGTGAAAAAACGAGATTAGCATGTTGCTCTGCTTCCAAGTGGCAGAGCCGAACTAGCTGCAACCGACATCGAATAGGAGAGGGATATATGCGCCTGGCCCTGGCGCCCGAATGTGCGGCTCGCTTGTGAAGGCACACAGCTCGCCTGTCACTGACTGCCGGCTCTGCCGGGCCAGCAAAGCTGCAGCTGCGCCAAGTGTCCAGCACGCTCTTCGGCCGAATCCGGATTACAAAAAGGAGCCGAAGCCATGAACGTTTTCAACTCATAGGATGGCAACAGAGCTGGCCGCGGCGTGGGTAAATGCCGTACACTTGACATGTGAAAGCTTGTCTGAACGTATGATTGACATAGGGCCTGCTTTGTGGCAGGATCCCGAGTTGAGCAAATTTGACAATATGTCGGTTTCTGGGCGTGCCAGACGGAAGTTCGCATTTGTGGAGCAAGCTCTACTCCGGACTTTTTCTTGAAGCCGAAGCTCTCTAAACCGACGATTGGTGTACTTCTCAAAACTCAAACCCTGGGTATCCCCACAGCTGTGCACACATGGTGGCTTTTGACCAGAAGGACTTCAGAGATGCACCGGGAATGGGCGAAGCCAAACAGCACCCACGTCTACGGTCTGGTAGAATCGTAGAATGTCTGCTCCCTCCCGCTTGAGTTCTGCTACCTTCCTGGAGCAGCAGCAAATGTTGGCACGAGGCCTGGAGATGTGGAGGGCTTGGCCGTGGATGCCATCTCGGAAGGACTGCATTTGGAGCTCCAGGTCACCATGCCTTGTTTCAGAAGAACTTAACTTAACTAGGTTGAGGGCGCGAGTTTGAGGGCGCCTGAGCTGATTGACGAATCATGTCAGGTTTCGGTACCCTCAGTTCGCTCTTAGACCGGTAGTGCCCGGTAGTGGGTTTGAGGTTATTGCTGTCACTTGGAATCGCTCAGTGCAGCTTCCGCCCAAACCCAAGGAGAAGTCAAACACGTCCCCACAGGACTGGTGGCTTATCGTGCAGGGGGCGTCCCCTGGCTGCTCGATTGGCAGCAGAAATCCACGCAGGCCCTGCCGCCGCCCGTCAGCAATCGCTGTGCTGCTGTGCTGGGTTCGGCAAGAACAGCTTTCTGTTGTGCTGTCAAATGTTGGGATTTAGCAGCGGCTGCTTCAGGCAAACCTTCTACAAACCTGTGCGGGGCAAGAATCAGGATCCGCCCAGCCCGAAATAACCTGGACCGACAAGGAAGAGGCTGCCCAGTTTGATTCCTGGTCGGAAAACTGCTGTGAGAAGCTGTCCCGTTTCTTTCCTTGTTGGAAGCAGGTCCGCTGCCAGAAAATATGCAGTTTCTTTCTATGTTGGTTTCTGTTGTTGATAGGCCAGATGCTCCATGATAGTATGCCATGCTCACGATGTGGTCGAAGCTCCCATCTCTAGTGTATGGCTATAATTAGTTTTGCGAACATGCTCTCTTACGGAGGGCGCGAGCACACCATTTTAGGAACTGCGCATGCACATGTTTGATGAGTGCAATGCAGGATAGAGTCGGTGCAGTTCGCAGTGCACGATTCAAGAAGTCATATGCTTGTCTCTGACTTGCAAGCATGACTCAGTTCGCTTTTACACGGCGAGACTTCGTATGGTATTTGGCTCAAGAACGCGAAAAGGATCCGAGAGCTGTTTGGCAACTTTGGTTTCTTGCGACTGGGAGTGTTTGGGGTTGTGACGACGACACAGAGGCCAACGGCCTCTCCGTGCAGAACATAACATCCCCAAACCCTTAACAGCGAATACCTTGAAAGCTTGTGTTGCCTTGACTCTTTCGAGTCGTGCCAGACTGCTGGGGCCTTCTGGTTTAATCTCGGGTTCGTAGTCTTGAGGATTTGCGGGTAGGAAGGTCAACACGTGTTGCCCGGGCCGGTACTTTCACTTCCGTGATCCTTTGAGCGCCGTGAGTGTGATAATGCAGAGCGATGTGGATGAAGATGCCGCTAACCCGTATCATACTCCTCGGAGGGGACAGCGTGCCCTAACGAATATGCCTGATCATTATAGTCCTGTGACAGACACCATGAGTCCAGATCAGAATGCAAGAGCATTGACATCAATAGCCGGTGCTCATAACCAACAGGTTATGAGCCCAAGCGGCTCCGCACAACCAAGCGTGCCTCCGTTCCCCACGGCAGCAGGGCCGTCAGCACAGTTCGGAGGCATTCAGTTCATGCAAGCAACCCGGCTGGAGATCCCGACGTCAATCCTTCAGCAGTTTGCACAGGCAGCTTCGCTGGATGCTTCTATGCTCCATGACCTGAGAGCAGCTGTCATTGAACTGAATGATCGTATGCAGTATAGATCCAACGTTTTGGGAGATGCATGCGTAACGCTCCACTCTGGATGCAATGCCATAGTGGATAACCTGGACAGGCTCCAACAAGGAATGGAGGCCCATAGTCGTACTTTGGCCTTTCTCATGAATGAAAACCTGTCTTTAAAGCAAGAGATAGAATCCACCGGTGAGCAGCTCAGCACGGACATGCGACAACAGTTTGCAATCGTTCGCGAGCAGTTGAGTGCGGTCCAGATGAAGGCGGAAACGGCCATGATGGGCCCGCAACAATGGCAAGCCCAGGTTGAGGCACACATTGTAACAATTCAAAACAACCTTGAGGCTGGACTCCGGAAGGCCAGTTCTGAGAATGAGACCCTGCGATCTCGTGTTGGTGTGCTTGAACAGGCAAATCAAGAGCGGGAGCGGGAGTGGCAAACTTTTCGGCAGGAGCATCGCGCTTCAGCTGATCAGAAGGGCTGCGACTCAACTGAGGTCCGCACTCAGGTCAATGAACTGTGTGCTACTATGACAGATCATGGGCAGCGCCTCGATGTGATTTCCCGGGACGTTGCAGATCTGCATGCTTCAGTGGCAGAAGTAGAATCATCAGTGTCTCATTTGGAGGGTCACAGCGCGACCATCCGAGAGGAGATCAGGGGTTTACATCAGATTTGCGAGCATTTTGCCGTCTACACAGATGAGGAACCTGTTGTTGGTGATCCGGGGATGGAAGATTATGAAGCAGGGTGGTGGGGTCAGCATAATGATGTAGATGCGATGCCACAGGGTCCGCCGCCTGGCTTCGGGGATCAGCCGGCTTCGACGCCTGCACCCACCGGGGACCACACAGATCCCGCGCAGAATGTGCCACAGGCGGCGCAAACTGTGTTCATGCCAGAATTCAGACCTTCAGGACCAAGTGATCACGGAGGTAACACGAGCATCCATCACGGTCGGTGGAAGCTACTTCAGGATGTGCCTGCGTTGAGGTTAGGAGCTGGAGAGCCTTGGGAACAAGGTATGAAGCTTCGGACCTGGTTCAAGCAGGTTGAGACTATTGCGGGAACAATTGCCGAATCATTCGGGGTTTATGTGAAGCAGCAGTTTAGGCTAGCAGATGATCGGCACAAGCAAAGGTTGGCAGGTTTGCACCAGTTGGATCCACCACCAAGGGTCCCACAGGAGGACTCGGAGAGTGAAAACCGGCTTGTGCTACTGCTGATCCGTTGTGTGCCCGCTGAGTTGAAGCAGAATGTCCTTGAAAAGGGAGATGAATCAGAACCGATGCGTGCAATTGCACTCCTTGAAAGGGTATTAGAAACATTGCAACCAGGTGGCGCTGCAGAAATGCAGTCGTTACAAGCTTTCGTTCGGAATCTGAGACCTGTTGGCACTGCAAAGGAGGGTCTGAGTGTGCTCCGACGGTGGCGGCTAGCAAGATCTAGGGCCATAGCATTGGCGCTCCCCCAGGTTGCCCCATTTGAGGAGCTTGGAGCGTTGGGAACACTTGCCCAGACTCTGGAGAAGCGTCATGACCGATTGCGTACCATGCTTAGTCTGCTGCGAACTAGGCCGGAAATCATCCGGCCAACCCCCGAGGGAGTAGACATGATGATCAGCCTTTTGGACCAGCAGTTTCAGCTACTCCATGCCGATGAGCAGGTAAAAACGAGTCGCGGTCGCGGCCAGGAGGATGATCTCGATCCAACGGCAAAGAAGGGCAAAGGCAAGGACGGAAAAGGCAAAGGCAAGGGTAGCAAGGGTACGGGTAAGGATTCAGGTTCAAAAGATGTGAAGCAGGAGTGCATAGCGTGGAAAACTACGGGAAAGTGTAGATTTGGCGACAGATGCCGATTCACGCATGGTAATCCACCAGCCCCTGGGGGCGCTCCACCACCCAAAGCAAGCCCAACTCCTAAACCCAAGGCTGCCCCAGCTGTAGCTCCGTCGCAACAACCTTGTCTTGCTTGGAAAAAGAATGGGAAGTGTAGGTTCGGGGACAAGTGCAAATATTCGCATGATGGAGAGGCTAAGCAAGCCACGGCAAAACCACAGGGAGCAACCACCACTACCGCGAGTCCATCAGAACCCTTAGTAGGAGCCGTAGCAAAGGCCTCAGCATGCATCACCCGATCTAGGGCTATGAAGGTTATTAGTGGTCTTGAGGAACCGGGTCCAGTAGATCTGTCAAGTGAGGGTGAAGAGTCGCCCGAGCCGTCCGAGCCAGCACCGAGTGAGGAGGAGTCTGAAGGTGTAGAATCAATTCCGGAGGCCGGTGGCCCGCTCTGGGTTCTTGACTTGTCCCTACGGGATTACATCCATTGGACGCGCCCATCGCAGATTCAGGTGTGTGCAGACCGAGATTTTCGTGAGGAGGAGAATCCTAACTCCATTGTGTGGGCAGTCTGGGATACGATCATTCATGATGAGCTAGATGTAGATGAAACGGGCACCATACCCATCGCGGAGGGAGTGTGCATGATCAAGTGTGATACCACAGTTGTCCTTTGCGAAGATGGGGTTGGAAGGCCCTGCTTTGTGGTTTGGATTCAGGAGGAGAGTTCAGGTCGGGAAAGGCAGCTTGCTTTGGCCCAGATACAGCACCGACCAAGGGTGCGACGCTGGCCCGAGATCCCCGATCCCCATGTACCTGAACTTGCGTATCGTAGGCCCCCGGAACCCAGCAAGGCGGCTCCAGCAAGAGCTCCCGATGCCGCGTCCGCTTACGTGAGGGGCGCTCCACCGGCAAAGGCGCCTACTGTGGTCCTGCCACCAGCACTCCGAACATCATCATCATCGTCCTCTTCACACGACCATTCCAACCAGAATCCTCATGCAGCCCAGGCAAGCAGCACTGGTAGGTGTGAGGAGGAGCGATGTGTTCTTGCGGACACCGGTGCAAATGAGCTTATCAGGCCCGTCGGTCCCCAACCACCCGCAAGGTCTAGTCAGGTTCGCCTCACGCTAGCCGATGGCAACACTACATGTGCATGGCGTACGAGGGACGGTGAGCTTGCAATGCCTGGTGATGAGACCTCCTGGATTGTCCCTGTAGGTAGGCTGGTGCAGCTAGGCTATAGGTTTGTCTGGGATCTGGATTTGGGTGCTAGGTTAGTGCGGGAGACTGAAGCTGGATGTGAAACCATCCACATGTTCGTCGACAATGGCTTGCCTTACATTTACTGGTCGGATTTTGCCCACCTTCGCAAACAGCTGTCAGCCGCTTTCCGAAACCAGAAGAGGAGCTGCTGTGCCGTCGCGAGTAACGAGAGCGAGCTTATGAACATGTTTGTAACACCGGATGATTTGCATGAGTGTGAGGCTGAGGCTAAGGAGTGTGTGTCCCCAGATTCCAAGGCATGCATTGGAGAGCAAGTCGCAGCAGCCTTCTTGAAGCTTGAGAGCATCACATATGACCATGTTTTGGAGGCTGTCATGAAGGCGGGTTTGAAACCTCAGAGCAAGTCGAGATCCTGTGCTGTAGGTCTTGAGGGTTCAGAGGGCATAAAGTCATGGGTGTTTGGTGCTTACGGTCATGGCCCGCACTGCGGCGTGACAACGCGAACCAATCAATTCCCGAACCTTGTTGCCTTGATCAATCGCTTCATGCAGCAAGAGATGCCCGCTGCATCCTGGTCGTCTTTTACCATATCCCAAGACGTTACCTTTACCCCGCATAAGGACACCCATAATGAACCTGATTCCCTAAACGTGCTTGTCGTGCTGAACCACAAGGGCCAGTGCAA